TCCTCTCTTGTTTTAATTAAACATTTACACAGTCCAGACCTCAGAGGTCAGACCTCAGGGAATTAAACCATTCCTTACACACACCCACACTTAGGTTCCCCACAGAGACTGTAATTTCACGTTTTTCCCTTTATTAGATAGAGAAAAAAACAGGAGTAGTGGGATGTATCCAATTCCAGAAGTTGCTCATGAACAGAAATGGGTTAGTATTGATATCAAACAACAAAATCTGACACTGCAGATTATTTCATAGGTTTAACAACATGCATCTCATGCATTTCTTTGTATCCACTTTTGTTTACATAAAAATCCAGAGAACCCATTAACAACTGCATGATTTTTAAGAAAATAATTGTTCATACAATTCATGGCTTATTGCCTTTGACATAATTTCAAATACACACACCACCATGTCTGCAGAAAAATGCTTTTTGTCCTGCAGTTGGGATGTTTTTTTCTTTTGTGAGGCTTGAATTATAATATTGCCGACAGTGTGTTATTCTTTTTATTATCAAGTGTTGTTATGATAAGCCCTCCAGCTAAATTTATCCAGACATGTTAATTTATTCAGCAAGTTGGTAACTCTGGCAAAAAACACCAAACAGATCTTTTCAACTAATATATATTTTGTGTGTGTGTTTTTACTTAATCAAGAGAGCATACAGGAAAGAGTCACAGCCTCCAAACTGACTTCACAGGCAAGAAATAATTTCTTCTGTCTATTCAGCTTTTACAAATCATCAAACTCAAAGGTAGAGTCTGGGCGAGTGGGTATTTCGCTATGTCTGGTTTTCAGATTTAAGGGGGAAATGCTTCCTTGCTAACCCTTATCCTGTGGCAAAGTGACGATGGCCTTTAAGGACAATAAGCTCCCATCCTACACGACAAATATAACCCTCCATTTGTCAAGTTATCCAAAAACATCAATCAATAACTTTATTTTTTCACATAGGAACTCTCTTCTTCCACAGCTAAATCAAAAACACATATGAAACTAACATGTTTGCTGCGTGCTAGTGCAGAAGCATGGTGATGTATAATGGTGACCCCAGCAGAGAGGAACCATCATTATGTCTTTATTTGGTATTGGTATCTTCACATACTCTGGTTTGATTTTAATTCCCATACACAACTGCTCACTATTTGGTCCCTTTTTATAAACATGAACCATGTTTAAAAGAGTCTGCCTCTTCTTGCAAATAGATGGCACTTTAATTATCTTTTTTTAAATTTAAAATTTTATTTAATTTTTTTTAAAATTATTATTATTTTTTGCGATGATCCTTCAAATCTGGCCCATTTGAAAAAAAGTATTTTTCTTTGGTTTAACAACCACATTTTTGTCCAGTCAGGTTTTGTCTTTGAGTTACAGCACACCGATTAACTGCAGGAAAACTTTTTTAAATTACCAGAAACATGACAGTGAGGGAAGAAAAAACTTCTTTGCCATCTCTCGCCTGGTTAATTTTGTCGTGCTGGCTCTCCTTGAAAGTAATTGTTTAAGATTCTGGTGGGTGTTGAGGAGCTCTCAGTGTTGGGACACACTTAATGAACCTGCTTCATACACAGCACTTCTAAGAGCAGACATTAAAACAACGACTGGCTTCACTCTGTGGGGTACACTGTGTTTAGAAAGCGGTATGTGTGGACCTTTGTGGCGTGTAGTGGAGGAAAACAGATGGCTACTTGGGAAATCAAGGTGGTAATTCATATTGATTACAGTGAGGTATGAGTACAGGGAATGAGACAGGGCTGTTTTGTTACTGAAACTTTATCAACATCAATATTCATACAGCCACTCAGAAAGTTCCTAAAATGTCCGGATGGTGTTGGATTCTCATTTGAAAAACATTAGACTTAATTTACCTCCCCCCAATAGTTAAAGTCTGTGAGACCCTGTATGCTCATATTGTTCCGATTCACTAGCAATTTACTAGCAGATCACCTGAGGACTTCGACCATGTCCGATTCTGAGGTGAGAAGACTTTCAATGATATGGAAGTTAACTTTTTACTTTTACATAAAACCTATGGTCACATGCTGTGTTATTAAAAAATATGACTTGCCAAACTGGCGCAAAATGAAGCTTAGCTAGCTTACCCAATACCAGCTTAACTAGTGAGTGTTAGCTCGTTCTACAGACATTAGAATTAGCTACAGCAGCTAGCTGACTTGCATACAGTCTTACAAGAGCAGACTGTGGCAAATTAAAAACAATAAAACTTTCTCTTGAGGTTTGTTCAATGTGTGCCAAATTAAAAAGGCATTTTAATCCAGTGATTAAGACTAAATCTTGAACAGCTACCCAAATCAGCACTGATGGTTGATTTGAAGATGTACTGGCTTGGCTGCCAGGTTACATGGCTCGGTGTTAGGATCTGCCATGTACTGTGGGCTGAGCTTGACTTTATGGCCTGCCTGAACTAACACTCATTCTTCCAGTTAATAATAATCAAAGATATATACAGTTCCCATACGCTACAGATACTGTGCAAATGCTGATATAAAACATAAATGGTGACAGTGCTGTAAGAAAAAAAGACATTGCCTGAACTCTTGTATAAGTAAATTGCATCGTTTTGTGGATTTAATGTGATTTATTCAAGCTCCTGTAAGAAACTGTGGGTTTATGTAAATTTGCTGCCCCTATGGACAAAGTGAGAACAAGGCGAGGACAAGACATGTAAGTGGCTGGATCCATCCCTTGTGGAGATCTCTCTGCTGCTAATCACTGCACCTGACTCCTGCCAGTCATAAGCCATTTTAAACATTCAAAAATAACTATGTAACTGTTCAACAAAGGCTTGGCTGCTCTCAGAACTTTTGTCTTTAAAACTCAGAGCTTTCATTCACTGAGCTTTCTTTTTTTTTGGCTTTTATTAAGTTTGATAATGGCCCCCATCCTCCTGCTCCATCCCCAACACAGCAACATGAGACATAGCAGCTCTCCGCAGGCTGGTAGCTCATGTGCAGTATTGTAAAGTATTGGCTGTTCTTTGGTGTCGATTCCTACAGTGATTTAATTCTAACAGTTGGAAGACCTGCATCAGAAAAGTCATCACATCATTCAAAGCAGGCGTTTTTCTCAAATAATGGAAATGTTGTGATAAAACTATTGAGAAACAAAAAAACTGATGCACAAAAAGGATGCCCTCCTCTACTTGTTTGCCACAGAGCACACCAGGCAGAATAAAGCTGGAGACATTAGAATCCATTTGGGGGATACGCTCTCTCTTGAGGAAGACATTATATTAACTCCAGTATTCCAACTCCAGGGCATAGGACAATAAAAGCATGGAAAATGGATGTGAGAGACGTTACACAGCCCCGAAAATATGTAATACTGGCTGAATGATACATAAATGAGCGAGTGCTCTGAGTTACAGACTATTAGGGCGCAGTGTGAAGACGGGAACACTCGGGAGTGGAGCTTCACAGCTGGAAGGGACATTCAGTGCAGGATGGAGGCACTCCATCACAAATTTATCTCATTTGAAATGTTAGAGGGAAGGGAAAAACATCCTTTTCTGAAGTGAATTACTCTGTCTTTGATATGGTCTTTCTTTGCCTGGGGGAAACTCAGATGTGTATCTTCACTTAAGTCAGGAGGGAAAGTCTTTTCTCAATTAAATCACGGCGGGGCTGGCAGGGGAGTCAGCATCAGTCGGGTATAATTAATGTGGAGGTGGAAGGACATTTGTGATTGGCAGGCAGAGCGCTGTTGAGGTGGGAGAGCGTACACACACATGCACACACAAAGTGTCAAATTAACCTCAAGTGTCGGATGCTTCGCTTTTTGCATTTTCGACACCTTTTTTTCTCTCTCTGACTGGTCATATGTGCGTAAAGGTTGATCAGTCAGAAAGAAGTGTCACTGCTTGAGCCTCCTAAAGGGATTGAGAGGAAGTCGTTTGTTTTGTGCTTGAAAAGAGAAAAACAAGGGGGAAGGGGCTGTAAAAGTATAATAATAATAATAATAATAATAATAATAATAATAATAATAATAATAATGAGACAGAAATGATAAAAAAAACATGCTTTATAAAAGTATTTTTTTTTCATAGGTATAATGACATTGTCACATGTTCTGTGTGAATGTAATCTCCCTTATCAAGACTGTTCGATGTTACCCTAACAACAAACCATGGGTAACAGGGGGTCAAAGCTGTTCTCAACAAGAAGAGGGCCATTTTTAGGAGCAGGGACAATGAAAGCAGCAGGGAGTGAAACACAGTGCAAGGGAAGCAAAGGATATCTACATGAGGAAAGTGGAGCAGAAGCTGAAGGAAAACAACATGAGGGAAGTCTGGGAAGGTGAATACAATCATAGGCCACAATACCAGGACCAGAGTCGGCGGGAAACAGTGTAGAGGGAGAATGAACCTTTTCAGCCTTCTCAGACCCCAAGTGCAACACGACAGTCTGCAGTTTGCATACCTGGCACCATGTGGATCCACTTTCTGGATTTCTTGAGTACCTTCAATACTATCTAGCGCCCTTTGCATGATGACAAACTGAGCAGGATATGAGCTGACACCTGCCTGGTCACCTGGATCTCCAGCTACCCTGCCAACAGGCTGAAGGACATCACCTCTGATATTCTGATCAGTACCGTCAGACCACCCCAGGGGATAGTGCTGCCCCCTCTTCTCTTCACCCTGTACACCACAGACTTCTGCTACAACTCTGAGCTGTGTCACATCCTGAGGTTCGCCAATGACACAGCCATCATTGGGTGTATTAGGCACGACAGAGAGAAGGAGTACATTAGTGTGGGAATTACTGTCTGGTGGCACAGGAACCATCTGCACCTCAACATCTTGAAGACCAAGGAGCTGGTCATTGACTTTGGAAGGTCTAGACCAGGGGTGGGCAATCATGTGCCATGGAGGGCCGAGAGGCTGCAGGTTTTCTTTCACAACCCAAAACTCCACCAGGTGATTTCACTGATTACCTTACTTCCAAGCAGAGAGCAGGGACTAATCAGTGAAATCACCTAGTGGAGTTTTGGGTTGGAAAGAAAACCTGCAGCCTCTCGGCCCTCCATGGCACATGATTGCCCACCCCTGGTCTAGACTGTGGTCAACACCAGTTCTGATTGAAAATAGTCAAGGTGGAGGCTACAGATTCATACAAGTATCTCAGACTGTGTCTGGTACCTCTCTTCTTCATCTATTTCTAATTATGATTCAAACCATAATTTATGATAATTAGCTTAAACTGTATAGTGTGTTTCTGAGGACACTGAAATAATAGACCTGGGTTACAAACCAATGAAATTATTCCACAGAGTAAAACAGGATTATTCCAGTGCTAACAAAGTGATCTGTGTTCAACAGGTCACTCTGCCGAATCACTAAACAGGCTCTCTTAATGGATCTAGTATGAGAAAGCTGTGCTGTCATATTGAGTACACTTCCTTTTGAATGAACGCATTTAATCAGTGTTCATCTGAAAGAGCTGACACAGATCAACAGGCAGATCAGTTCTTACAGTGTTTGTGAAACAAGCTTGTTGCAGCTAGAGTCAGAAAGAGGACTCAGGATCCTGTTCAAGCACAGAACTCATTCCCATTAGGAAAAACAAACATTTACAGAGATGTAGCAGCATCACAGTGTTTGGAGCTGATGTAAGCAGCACAGTCTCACCTGCTCAGAAAATGTAATTAAAGATCATATTCAGGGGTAGATGATCATATTTCTCTATTACTCCCAGGTCCGGATGCAGTCATTTAAAGAATGACGGATGCACCTCCACCATGGGCTTATGAACTAAATCAGATTGCATCCAGACTGCGGTGCTTCATCATAGAGTTAATTAGACTCAAACTTCCAGAAAGTATAATTAAAATAATTATCTTTTATCACTCTGAAGTACGTGACAGTTCTGATCTCTCCATGTGGAATTTTAAAGACGGGGAGTGGAAATTAAAGACACCAAAAAAAAGAGTCACATGCTAGCACATGTTATTGGGCCAGATTTACTGCTACTTTTACGCATAAGAAGACACTCAAATAACTTCATCAGTGACAGCAGCTGAGGACTGGTTACCATAGTTACTGGAGTGACAGTTTTAGCATGCAGGGGGTCAGTGTTCCCAGCGAATCATTATTCACTGGTTAGTATTCATAAGACTTTGTTGTCCTTCAGACCCACCGCATCTCACGTATTTGCATTTCTGCGGCTTGGAAAGAAGGTACAACCTCTCTTCTCCTGCCAATGTTTATTTTAACAAGTGCGTATCTCAGAAGAATAAATCAGCCACTCTTAGAGCACATAAAAGAGAGGATTTGAAACAAAAGGGGGATTTCATTGGAAATCCTTCATCAGCAATACAAGAAAGAGACAATGAAGAAACCAGTGTAACAAAAACAATGCCCTTCTGTGCTCCATTTCTCTCAAGACCAACAGAACATATCATGGCCCCTAGCTGACTGGAGTGATAACATGATGAGGTTTGAACTCCAGCATTGCAAAAACCAATGCATTTCAGCTTGTGACCCTCAGGGCCATTAGAAAACACATTTCAAACAACATGCAATTGGGACAGCTGTGGTGCCAATCTCCTCCTGCAGATGTGTGTCTGTTTCAGGGTTTAGATGTATTTTTGAGGTAAGAAAGGGATGGGTCCTGTGCTCAAGTTTTGTCTGGTGCAGGGTTTGAGTAGTAACCTACCGGAGGCAAAAAAGGTGTAAAGGGAGATGAGAGTCAGAGTTCATGTTCTCTTTCATCTCCAGATCATACAATTTGGAAACTTGTATGATGATGTCAGAGGACAGGAAATGAAAGTATGTGAGATCTGTCTCCTACAGTGCATCCAGAAAGTATTCATAGCCCAACACTTTTTTCACAATTTCTTGTCTTATAGCCTTGTTGTAAAATGGAATAAATTCATGTTTCACCTCAAAATTCTATGCAAAATACCTCATTATGGCAAAGTGAAAAATTTTTGTCTGGGACATTTTTAAATTTATTGAAAATAAAAATCAAAAATAACATGCACATTAGTACTTTTGTGTGCTACTATTCATCCCTATGGTCAATCAAAAGCCCGGCCCTTCCTGCAGAACAAAACTTCGCAGTTTGTACCCAACAGGCATTGCCAGAGATCCAGAACTGACAATCAGGACTTTTAGGCTGGTTGAAAAAAATAACAACTTGTTGTTGGAAGATAAAGGAGGAGTTAATCTTGTTTGTATTTGTACATTTTGAGTGATGGAGTTGACAGATGAAGACAAGGCTTGGCATTATTTCAATGTGATTAGACCAAGAACATTGCTCACACCAATGAAAAGCACATCCTTCGAGCCGGAGTTGAACCAGCGACCTAAGGATCAAAGCGATTACATTCAGGAACATACTACAGTCCTCCGCTCTACCAACTGAGCTATCGAAGGGTGCTGGGGCAACAATGGCAGAAAACACAGTGGCTGAGACAACACACTATGCCAACAGGACTCTTCGTCCCAATGGTCAATCATAAGCCCAGCCCTTTCCAGCAGAACAAAGCTCAGCAGTTTGTACCCAACAGGCATTGCCACGGACCCAGAACTGATAATCAGGACTTTTAGGCTGGTTGAAAAAAATAACAACTTGTGGTTGGAACATAAAGGAGGAGTTAATATTGTTTGTGTTTGTAAATTTTGAGTGATGGAGTTGACAGATGAAGACAAGGCTTGGCATTATTTCAATGTGATTAGACCAAGAACATTGCTCACACCAATGAAAAGCACATCCTTCAAGCCGGAGTTGAACCAGCGACCTAAGGATCAAAGCGATTACATTCAGGAACATACTACAGTCCTCCGCTCTACCAACTGAGCTATCGAAGGGTGCTGTGGCAACAATGTCAGAAAACACAGTGGCTGAGACAACACACTATGCCAACAGGACTCTTCGTCCCAATGGTCAATCATAAGCCCAGCCCTTCCTGCAGAACAAAGCTTCGCAGTTTGTAAAGAAACAGGCATTGCCACGGACCCAGAACTGATAATCAGGACTTTTAGGCTGGTTGAAAAAAATAACAACTTGTGGTTGGAACATAAAGGAGGAGTTAATATTGTTTGTGTTTGTACATTTTGAGTGATGGAGTTGACAGATGAAGACAAGGCTTGGCATTATTTCATGGTGATTAGACCAAGAACATTGCTCACACCAATGAAAAGCACATCCTTCGAGCCGGAGTTGAACCAGCGACCTAAGGATCACAGGGATTACATTCAGGAAGATTCTACAGTCCTCCGCTCTACCAACTGAGCTATCGAAGGGTGCTGTGGCAACAATGGCAGAAAACACAGTGGCTGAGACAACACACTATGCCAACAGGACTATTCATCCCAATGGTCAATCAAAATCCCAGCCCTTCCTGCAGAACAAAGCTCAGCAGTTTGTACCCAACAGGCATTGCCAGGGACCCAGAACTGATAATCAGGACTTTTAGGCTGGTTGAAAAAAATAACAACTTGTGGTTGGAACATAAAGGAGGAGTTATCTTGTTTTTGTTTGTACATTTTGAGTGATGGAGTTGACAGATGAAGACAAGGCTTGGCATTATTTCAATGTGATTAGAACAAGAACATTGCTCACACCAATGAAAAGCACATCCTTCGAGCCGGAGTTGAACCAGCGACCTAAGGATCACAGCGATTACATTCAGGAACATTCTACAGTCCTCCGCTCTACCAACTGAGCTATCGAAGGGTGCTGTGGCAACAATGTCAGAAAACACAGTGGCTGAGACAACACACTATGCCAACAGGACTATTCATCCCAATGGTCAATCAAAATCCCAGCCCTTCCTGCAGAACAAAGCTCAGCAGTTTGTACCCAACAGGCATTGCCAGAGATCCAGAACTGATAATCAGGACTTTTAGGCTGGTTAAAAAAAATAACAACTTGTGGTTGGAACACAAAGGAGGAGTTAATCTTGTTTGTGTTCGTACATTTTGAGTGATGGAGTTGATAGATGAAGACAAGGCTTGGCATTATTTCAATGTGATTAGACCAAGAACATTGCTCACACCAATGAAAAGCACATCCTTCGAGCCGGAGTTGAACCAGCGACCTAAGGATGACAGCGATTACATTCAGGAACATTCTACAGTCCTGCGCTCTACCAACTGAGTTATCGAAGGGCGCTGGGGCAACAATGGCAGAAAACATAGTGGCTGAGACAACACACTATGCCAACAGGACTCTTCATCCCAATGGTCAATCATAAGCCCAGCCCTTCCTGCAGAACAAAGCTCAGCAGTTTGTACCCAACAGGCATTGCCAGAGACCCAGAACTGATAATCAGGACTTTTAGGCTGGTTGAAAAAAATAACAACTTGTGGTTGGAAGATAAAGGAGGAGTTAATATTGTTTGTGTTCGTACATTTTGAGTGATGGAGTTGATAGATGAAGACAAGGCTTGGAGCAGGAGTTGAACTAGCAACTACAGGATCACAGCCTACAGTCCTCCGCTCTACCAACTGAGCTATCGTAGGGTGCTGGGGCAACAATGGCAGAAAACACAGTGGCTGAGACAACACACTATGCCAGCAGGACCTTTCATCCCTATGGTCAATCAAAATCCCAGCCCTTCCTGCAGAACAAAGCTCAGCAGTTTGTACCCAACAGGCATTGCCAGGGACCGAGAACTGATAATCAGGACTTTTAGGCTGGTTGAAAAAAATAACAACTTGTGGTTGGAACATAAAGGAGGAGTTATCTTGTTTTTGTTTGTACATTTTGAGTGATGGAGTTGACAGATGAAGACAAGGCTTGGCATTATTTCATGGTGATTGGACCAAGAACATTGCTCACACCAATGAAAAGCACATCCTTCGAGCCGGAGTTGAACCAGCGACCTAAGGATGACAGCGATTACATTCAGGAACATTCTACAGTCCTCCGCTCTACCAACTGAGCTATCGAAGGGTGCTGTGGGAGCAAATGCAGAAAACACAGTGGCTGATACAACACACTGTGCCAACAGGACTCTTCGTCCCAATGGTCAATCATAAGCCCAGCCCTTCCTGCAGAACAAAGCTTCGCAGTTTGTACCCAACAGGCATTGCCAGAGACCCAGAACTGATAATCAGGACTTTTAGGCTGGTTGAAAAAAATAACAACTTGTGGTTGGAAGATAAAGGAGGAGTTAATATTGTTTGTGTTTGTACATTTTGAGTGATGGAGTTGATAGATGAAGACAAGGCTTGGAGCAGGAGTTGAACTAGCAACCCAAGGATCACAGCCTACAGTCGTCCCCTCTACCAAGTGAGCTATCGAAGGGTGCTGGGGCAACAATGGGAGAAAACACAGTGGCTGAGACAACACACTATGCCAGCAGGACCTTTCATCCCTATGGTCAAGCAAAATCCCAGCCCTTCCTGCAGAACAAAGCTCAGCAGTTTGTACCCAACAGGCATTGCCAGGGACCGAGAACTGATAATCAGGACTTTTAGGCTGGTTGAAAAAAATAACAACTTGTGGTTGGAAGATAAAGGAGGAGTTAATATTGTTTGTGTTTGTACATTTTGAGTGATGGAGTTGATAGATGAAGACAAGGCTTGGAGCAGGAGTTGAACTAGCAACCCAAGGATCACAGGCTACAGTCCTCCCCTCTACCAACTGAGCTATCGTAGGGTGCTGGGGCAACAATGGCAGAAAACACAGTGGCTGAGACAACACACTATGCCAGCAGGACCTTTCATCCCTATGGTCAATCAAAATCCCAGCCCTTCCTGCAGAACAAAGCTCAGCAGTTTGTACCCAACAGGCATTGCCAGGGACCCAGAACTGATAATCAGGACTTTTAGGCTGGTTGAAAAAAATAACAACTTGTTGTTGGAACATAAAGGAGGAGTTATCTTGTTTTTGTTTGTACATTTTGAGTGATGGAGTTGACAGATGAAGACAAGGCTTGGCATTATTTCAATGTGATTAGACCAAGAACATTGCTCACACCAATGAAAAGCACATCCTTCGAGCCGGAGTTGAACCAGCGATCTAGGGATCACAGCGATTACATTCAGGAACATCCTACAGTCCTCCGCTCTACGAACTGAGCTATCGAAGGGTGGTGGGGGAACAAATGCAGAAAACATAGTGGCTGAGACAACACACTATGCCAACAGGCCTATTCATCCAAATGGTCAATCATAAGCCCAGCCCTTCCTGCAGAAAAAAGCTCAGCAGTTTGTACCCAACAGGCATTGCCAGAGATCCAGAACTGATAATCAGGACTTTTAGGCTGGTTGAAAAAAATAACAACTTGTGGTTGGAACACAAAGGAGGAGATAATCTTGTTTGTGTTCGTACATTTTGAGTGATGGAGTTGATAGATGAAGACAAGGCTTGGCGAGGGAGTTGAACTAGCAACCCAAGGATCACAGCCTACAGTCCTCCGCTCTACCAACTGAGCTATCGTAGGGTGCTGGGGCAACAATGGCAGAAAACACAGTGGCTGAGACAACACACTATGCCAGCAGGACCTTTCATCCCTATGGTCAATCAAAATCCCAGCCCTTCCTGCAGAACAAAGCTCAGCAGTTTGTACCCAACAGGCATTGCCAGGGACCGAGAACTGATAATCAGGACTTTTAGGCTGGTTGAAAAAAATAACAACTTGTGGTTGGAACATAAAGGAGGAGTTATCTTGTTTTTGTTTGTACATTTTGAGTGATGGAGTTGACAGATGAAGACAAGGCTTGGCATTATTTCATGGTGATTAGACCAAGAACATTGCTCACACCAATGAAAAGCACATCCTTCAAGCCAGAGTTGAACCAGCGACCTAAGGATCACAGCGATTACATTCAGGAACATTCTACAGTCCTCCGCTCTACCAACTGAGCTATCGAAGGGTGCTGTGGGAGCAAATGCAGAAAACACAGTGGCTGAGACAACACACTGTGCCAACAGGACTCTTCGTCCCAATGGTCAATCATAAGCCCAGCCCTTCCTGCAGAACAAAGCTTCGCAGTTTGTACCCAACAGGCATTGCCAGAGACCCAGAACTGATAATCAGGACTTTTAGGCTGGTTGAAAAAAATAACAACTTGTGTTGGAAGATAAAGGAGGAGTTAATATTGTTTGTGTTTGTACATTTTGAGTGATGGAGTTGACAGATGACGACAAGGCTTGGCATTATTTCATTGTGATTAGACCAAGAACATTGCTCACACCAATGAAAAGCACATCCTTCGAGCCGGAGTTGAACCAGCGACCTAAGGATCACAGCGATTACATTCAGGAACATTCTACAGTGCTCCGCTCTACCAACTGAGCTATCGAAGGGTGCTGGCCCAACAATGGCAGAAAACACAGTGGCTGAGACAACACACTATGCCAACAGGACTATTCATCCCAATGTTCAATCAAAATCCCAGCCCTTCCTGCAGAACAAAGCTTCACAGTTTGTACAGAAACAGGCATTGCCAGAGACCCAGAACTGATAATCAGGACTTTTAGGCTGGTTGAAAAAAATAATAACTTGTGGTTGGAACATAAAGGAGGAGTTATCTTGTTTTTGTTTGTACATTTTGAGTGATGGAGTTGACAGATGAAGACAAGGCTTGGCATTATTTCAATGTGATTAGACCAAGAACATTGCTCACACCAATGAAAAGCACATCCTTCGAGGTGGAGTTGAACCAGCGACCTAAGGATCACAGCGATTACATTCAGGAACATTTTACAGTCTTCCGCTCTACCAACTGAGCTATCGTAGGGTGCTGGGGCAACAATGGCAGAAAACACAGTGGCTGAGACAACACACTATGCCAGCAGGACCTTTCATCCCTATGGTCAATCAAAATCCCAGCCCTTCCTGCAGAACAAAGCTCAGCAGTTTGTACCCAACAGGCATTGCCAGGGACCGAGAACTGATAATCAGGACTTTTAGGCTGGTTGAAAAAAAAAAACAACTTGTGGTTGGAACATAAAGGAGGAGTTATCTTGTTTTTGTTTGTACATTTTGAGTGATGGAGTTGACAGATGAAGACAAGGCTTGGCATTATTTCATGGTGATTAGACCAAGAACATTGCTCACACCAATGAAAAGCACATCCTTCGAGCCGGAGTTGAACCAGCGACCTAAGGATCACAGCGATTACATTCAGGAACATTCTACAGTCCTCCGCTCTACCAACTGAGCTATCGAAGGGTGCTGTGGGAGCAAATGCAGAAAACACAGTGGCTGAGACAACACACTGTGCCAACAGGACTCTTCGTCCCAATGGTCAATCATAAGCCCAGCCCTTCCTGCAGAACAAAGCTTCGCAGTTTGTACCCAACAGGCATTGCCAGAGACCCAGAACTGATAATCAGGACTTTTAGGCTGGTTGAAAAAAATAACAACTTGTGGTTGGAAGATAAAGGAGGAGTTAATATTGTTTGTGTTTGTACATTTTGAGTGATGGAGTTGACAGATGAAGACAAGGCTTGGCATTATTTCATTGTGATTAGACCAAGAACATTGCTCACACCAATGAAAAGCACATCCTTCGAGCCGGAGTTGAACCAGCGACCTAAGGATCACAGCGATTACATTCAGGAACATTCTACAGTCCTCCGCTCTACCAACTGAGCTATCGAAGGGTGCTGGCCCAACAATGGCAGAAAACACAGTGGCTGAGACAACACACTATGCCAACAGGACTATTCATCCCAATGTTCAATCAAAATCCCAGCCCTTCCTGCAGAACAAAGCTTCACAGTTTGTACAGAAACAGGCATTGCCAGAGACCCAGAACTGATAATCAGGACTTTTAGGCTGGTTGAAAAAAACAACAACTTGTGGTTGGAACATAAAGGAGGAGTTATCTTGTTTTTGTTTGTACATTTTGAGTGATGGAGTTGACAGATGAAGACAAGGCTTGGCATTATTTCATGGTGATTAGACCAAGAACATTGCTCACACCAATGAAAAGCACATCCTTCGAGCCGGAGTTGAACCAGCGACCTAAGGATCACAGCGATTACATTCAGGAACATTCTACAGTCCTCCGCTCTACCAACTGAGCTATCGTAGGGTGCTGGGGCAACAATGGCAGAAAACACAGTGGCTGAGACAACACACTATGCCAGCAGGACCTTTCATCCCTATGGTCAATCAAAATCCCAGCCCTTCCTGCAGAACAAAGCTCAGCAGTTTGTACCCAACAGGCATTGCCAGGGACCGAGAACTGATAATCAGGACTTTTAGGCTGGTTGAAAAAAATAACAACTTGTGGTTGGAACATAAAGGAGGAGTTATCTTGTTTTTGTTTGTACATTTTGAGTGATGGAGTTGACAGATGAAGACAAGGCTTGGCATTATTTCAATGTGATTAGACCAAGAACATTGCTCACACCAATGAAAAGCACATCCTTCGAGGTGGAGTTGAACCAGCGACCTAAGGATCACAGCGATTACATTCAGGAACATTCTACAGTGCTCCGCTCTACCAACTGAGCTATCGAAGGGTGCTGGCCCAACAATGGCAGAAAACACAGTGGCTGAGACAACACACTATGCCAACAGGACTATTCATCCCAATGTTCAATCAAAATCCCAGCCCTTCCTGCAGAACAAAGCTTCACAGTTTGTACAGAAACAGGCATTGCCAGAGACCCAGAACTGATAATCAGGACTTTTAGGCTGGTTGAAAAAAAAAACAACTTGTGGTTGGAACATAAAGGAGGAGTTATCTTGTTTTTGTTTGTACATTTTGAGTGATGGAGTTGACAGATGAAGACAAGGCTTGGCATTATTTCATGGTGATTAGACCAAGAACATTGCTCACACCAATGAAAAGCACATCCTTCGAGCCGGAGTTGAACCAGCGACCTAAGGATCACAGCAATTACATTCAGGAACATTCTACAGTCCTCCGCTCTACCAACTGAGCTATCGAAGGGTGCTGTGGGAGCAAATGCAGAAAACACAGTGGCTGATACAACACACTGTGCCAAAAAGACTCTTCGTCCCAGTGGTCAATCATAAGCCCCTTCCTGCAGAACAAAGCTTCGCAGTTTGTACCCAACAGGCATTGCCAGAGACCCAGAACTGATAATCAGGACTTTTAGGCTGGTTGAAAAAAATAATAACTTGTGGTTGGAACATAAAGGAGGAGTTATCTTGTTTTTGTTTGTACATTTTGAGTGATGGAGTTGACAGATGAAGACAAGGCTTGGAGCAGGAGTTGAACTAGCAACCCAAGGATCACAGCCTACAGTCCTCCCCTCTACCAACTGAGCTATCGTAGGGTGCTGGGGCAACAATGGCAGAAAACACAGTGGCTGAGACAACACACTATGCCAGCAGGACCTTTCATCCCTATGGTCAATCAAAATCCCAGCCCTTCCTGCAGAACAAAGCTCAGCAGTTTGTACCCAACAGGCATTGCCAGGGACCGAGAACTGATAATCAGGACTTTTAGGCTGGTTGAAAAAAACAACAACTTGTGGTTGGAACATAAAGGAGGAGTTATCTTGTTTTTGTTTGTACATTTTGAGTGATGGAGTTGACAGATGAAGACAAGGCTTGGCATTATTTCAATGTGATTAGACCAAGAACATTGCTCACACCAATGAAAAGCACATCCTTCGAGGTGGAGTTGAACCAGCGACCTAAGGATCACAGCGATTACATTCAGGAACATTCTACAGTGCTCCGCTCTACCAACTGAGCTATCGAAGGGTGCTGGCCCAACAATGGCAGAAAACACAGTGGCTGAGACAACACACTATGCCAACAGGACTATTCATCCCAATGTTCAATCAAAATCCCAGCCCTTCCTGCAGAACAAAGCTTCACAGTTTGTACAGAAACAGGCATTGCCAGAGACCCAGAACTGATAATCAGGACTTTTAGGCTGGTTGAAAAAAAAAACAACTTGTGGTTGGAACATAAAGGAGGAGTTATCTTGTTTTTGTTTGTACATTTTGAGTGATGGAGTTGACAGATGAAGACAAGGCTTGGCATTATTTCATGGTGATTAGACCAAGAACATTGCTCACACCAATGAAAAGCACATCCTTCGAGCCGGAGTTGAACCAGCGACCTAAGGATCACAGCAATTACATTCAGGAACATTCTACAGTCCTCCGCTCTACCAACTGAGCTATCGAAGGGTGCTGTGGGAGCAAATGCAGAAAACACAGTGGCTGATACAACACACTGTGCCAAAAAGACTCTTCGTCCCAGTGGTCAATCATAAGCCCTTCCTGCAGAACAAAGCTTCGCAGTTTGTACCCAACAGGCATTGCCAGAGACCCAGAACTGATAATCAGGACTTTTAGGCTGGTTGAAAAAAATAATAACTTGTGGTTGGAACATAAAGGAGGAGTTATCTTGTTTTTGTTTGTACATTTTGAGTGATGGAGTTGACAGATGAAGACAAGGCTTGGAGCAGGAGTTGAACTAGCAACCCAAGGATCACAGCCTACAGTCCTCCCCTCTACCAACTGAGCTATCGTAGGGTGCTGGGGCAACAATGGCAGAAAACACAGTGGCTGAGACAACACACTATGCCAGCAGGACCTTTCATCCCTATGGTCAATCAAAATCCCAGCCCTTCCTGCAGAACAAAGCTCAGCAGTTTGTACCCAACAGGCATTGCCAGGGACCGAGAACTGATAATCAGGACTTTTAGGCTGGTTGAAAAAAACAACAACTTGTGGTTGGAACATAAAGGAGGAGTTATCTTGTTTTTGTTTGTACATTTTGAGTGATGGAGTTGACAGATGAAGACAAGGCTTGGCATTATTTCATGGTGATTAGACCAAGAACATTGCTCACACCAATGAAAAGCACATCCTTCGAGCCGGAGTTGAACCAGCGACCTAAGGATCACAGCGATTACATTCAGGAACATTCTACAGTCCTCCGCTCTACCAACTGAGCTATCGTAGGGTGCTGGGGCAACAATGGCAGAAAACACAGTGGCTGAGACAACACACTATGCCAGCAGGACCTTTCATCCCTATGGTCAATCAAAATCCCAGCCCTTCCTGCAGAACAAAGCTCAGCAGTTTGTACCCAACAGGCATTGCCAGGGACCGAGAACTGATAATCAGGACTTTTAGGCTGGTTGAAAAAAATAACAACTTGTGGTTGGAACACAAAGGAGGAGTTAATCTTGTTTGTGTTCGTACATTTTGAGTGATGGAGTTGATAGATGAAGACGAGGCTTGGAGCGGGAGTTGAACTAGCAACCCAAGGATCACAGCCTACAGTCCTCAGCTCTACCAACTGAGCTATCGTAGGGTGCTGGGGCAACAATGGCAGAAAACACAGTGGCTGAGACAACACACTATGCCAGCAGGACCTTTCATTCCTATGGTCAATCAAAATCCCAGCCCTTCCTGCAGAACAAAGCTCAGCAGTTTGTACCCAACAGGCATTGCCAGAGACCCAGAACTGATAATCAGGACTTTTAGGCTGGTTGAAAAAAATAACAACTTGTGTTGGAAGATATAGGAGGAGTTATCTTGTTTTTGTTTGTACATTTTGAGTGATAGAGTTGACAGATGAAGACAAGGCTTGGCATTATTTCATGGTGATTAGACCAAGAACATTGCTCACACCAATGAAAAGCACATCCTTCGAGCCGGAGTTGAACCAGCGACCTAAGGATCACAGCGATTACATTCAGGAACATTCTACAGTCCTCCGCTCTACCAACTGAGCTATCGAAGGGTGCTGTGGGAGCAAATGCAGAAAACACAGTGGCTGAGACAACACACTGTGCCAACAGGACTCTTCGTCCCAATGGTCAATCATAAGCCCAGCCCTTCCTGCAGAACAAAGCTTCGCAGTTTGTACCCAACAGGCATTGCCAGAGACCCAGAACTGATAATCAGGACTTTTAGGCTGGTTGAAAAAAATAACAACTTGTGGTTGGAAGATAAAGGAGGAGTTAATATTGTTTGTGTTTGTACATTTTGAGTGATGGAGTTGACAGATGAAGACAAGGCTTGGCATTATTTCATTGTGATTAGACCAAGAACATTGCTCACACCAATGAAAAGCACATCCTTCGAGCCGGAGTTGAACCAGCGACCTAAGGATCACAGCGATTACATTCAGGAACATTCTACAGTGCTCCGCTCTACCAACTGAGCTATCGAAGGGTGCTGGCCCAACAATGGCAGAAAACACAGTGGCTGAGACAACACACTATGCCAACAGGACTATTCATCCCAATGTTCAATCAAAATCCCAGCCCTTCCTGCAGAACAAAGCTTCACAGTTTGTACAGAAACAGGCATTGCCAGAGACCCAGAACTGATAATCAGGACTTTTAGGCTGGTTGAAGCAAAAAACAACAACTTGTGGTTGGAACATAAAGGAGGAGTTATCTTGTTTTTGTTTGTACATTTTGAGTGATGGAGTTGACAGATGAAGACAAGGCTTGGCATTATTTCATGGTGATTAGACCAAGAACATTGCTCACACCAATGAAAAGCACATCCTTCGAGCCGGAGTTGAACCAGCGACCTAAGGATCACAGCGATTACATTCAGGAACATTCTACAGTCCTCCGCTCTACCAACTGAGCTATCGTAGGGTGCTGGGGCAACAATGGCAGAAAACACAGTGGCTGAGACAACACACTATGCCAGCAGGACCTTTCATCCCTATGGTCAATCAAAATCCCAGCCCTTCCTGCAGAACAAAGCTCAGCAGTTTGTACCCAACAGGCATTGCCAGGGACCGAGAACTGATAATCAGGACTTTTAGGCTGGTTGAAAAAAATAACAACTTGTGGTTGGAACATAAAGGAGGAGTTATCTTGTTTTTGTTTGTACATTTTGAGTGATGGAGTTGACAGATGAAGACAAGGCTTGGCATTATTTCAATGTGATTAGACCAAGAACATTGCTCACACCAATGAAAAGCACATCCTTCGAGGTGGAGTTGAACCAGCGACCTAAGGATCACAGCGATTACATTCAGGAACATTCTACAGTGCTCCGCTCTACCAACTGAGCTATCGAAGGGTGCTGGCCCAACAATGGCAGAAAACACAGTGGCTGAGACAACACACTATGCCAACAGGACTATTCATCCCAATGTTCAATCAAAATCCCAGCCCTTCCTGCAGAACAAAGCTTCACAGTTTGTACAGAAACAGGCATTGCCAGAGACCCAGAACTGATAATCAGGACTTTTAGGCTGGTTGAAAAAAAAAACAACTTGTGGTTGGAACATAAAGGAGGAGTTATCTTGTTTTTGTTTGTACATTTTGAGTGATGGAGTTGACAGATGAAGACAAGGCTTGGCATTATTTCATGGTGATTAGACCAAGAACATTGCTCACACCAATGAAAAGCACATCCTTCGAGCCGGAGTTGAACCAGCGACCTAAGGATCACAGCAATTACATTCAGGAACATTCTACAGTCCTCCGCTCTACCAACTGAGCTATCGAAGGGTGCTGTGGGAGCAAATGCAGAAAACACAGTGGCTGATACAACACACTGTGCCAAAAAGACTCTTCGTCCCAGTGGTCAATCATAAGCCCTTCCTGCAGAACAAAGCTTCGCAGTTTGTACCCAACAGGCATTGCCAGAGACCCAGAACTGATAATCAGGACTTTTAGGCTGGTTGAAAAAAATAATAACTTGTGGTTGGAACATAAAGGAGGAGTTATCTTGTTTTTGTTTGTACATTTTGAGTGATGGAGTTGATAGATGAAGACAAGGCTTGGAGCAGGAGTTGAACTAGCAACCCAAGGATCACAGCCTACAGTCGTCCCCTCTACCAAGTGAGCTATCGAAGGGTGCTGGGGCAACAATGGCAGAAAACACAGTGGCTGAGACAACACACTATGCCAGCAGGACCTTTCATCCCTATGGTCAATCAAAATCCCAGCCCTTCCTGCAGAACAAAGCTCAGCAGTTTGTACCCAACAGGCATTGCCAGGGACCGAGAACTGATAATCAGGACTTTTAGGCTGGTTGAAAAAAATAACAACTTGTGGTTGGAACATAAAGGAGGAGTTATCTTGTTTTTGTTTGTACATTTTGAGTGATGGAGTTGACAGATGAAGACAAGGCTTGGCATTATTTCATGGTGATTAGACCAAGAACATTGCTCACACCAATGAAAAGCACATCCTTCGAGCCGGAGTTGAACCAGCGACCTAAGGATCACAGCGATTACATTCAGGAACATTCTACAGTCCTCCGCTCTACCAACTGAGCTATCGAAGGGTGCTGGGGCAACAATGGCAGAAAACACAGTGGCTGAGACAACACACTATGCCAGCAGGACCTTTCATCCCTATGGTCAATCAAAATCCCATCCCTTCCTGCAGAACAAAGCTCAGCAGTTTGTACCCAACAGGCATTGCCAGGGACCGAGAACTGATAATCAGGACTTTTAGGCTGGTTGAAAAAAATAACAACTTGTGGTTGGAACACAAAGGAGGAGTTAATCTTGTTTGTGTTCGTACATTTTGAGTGATGGAGTTGATAGATGAAGACAAGGCTTGGAGCGGGAGTTGAACTAGCAACCCAAGGATCAAAGCCTACAGTCCTCAGCTCTACCAACTGAGCTATCGTAGGGTGCTGGGGCAACAATGGCAGAAAACACAGTGGCTGAGACAACACACTATGCCAGCAGGACCTTTCATTCCTATGGTCAATCAAAATCCCAGCCCTTCCTGCAGAACAAAGCTCAGCAGTTTGTACCCAACAGGCATTGCCAGAGACCCAGAACTGATAATCAGGACTTTTAGGCTGGTTGAAAAAAATAACAACTTGTGTTGGAAGATATAGGAGGAGTTATCTTGTTTTTGTTTGTACATTTTGAGTGATAGAGTTGACAGATGAAGACAAGGCTTGGCATTATTTCATGGTGATTAGACCAAGAACATTGCTCACACCAATGAAAAGCACATCCTTCGAGCCGGAGTTGAACCAGCGACCTAAGGATCACAGCGATTACATTCAGGAACATTCTACAGTCCTCCGCTCTACCAACTGAGCTATCGAAGGGTGCTGTGGGAGCAAATGCAGAAAACACAGTGGCTGATACAACACACTGTGCCAACAGGACTCTTCGTCCCAATGGTCAATCATAAGCCCAGCCCTTCCCGCAGAACAAAGCTTCGCAGTTTGTACCCAACAGGCATTGCCAGAGACCCAGAACTGATAATCAGGACTTTTAGGCTGGTTGAAAAAAATAACAACTTGTGGTTGGAAGATAAAGGAGGAGTTAATATTGTTTGTGTTTGTACATTTTGAGTGATGGAGTTGACAGATGAAGACAAGGCTTGGCATTATTTCATGGTGATTAGACCAAGAACATTGCTCACACCAATGAAAAGCACATCCTTCGAGCCGGAGTTGAACCAGCGACCTAAGGATCACAGCGATTACATTCAGGAACATCCTACAGTCCTCCGCTCTACCAACTGAGCTATCGAAGGGTGCTGGGGGAACAAATGCAGAAAACATAGTGGCTGAGACAACACACTATGCCAACAGGACTATTCATCCCAATGTTCAATCAAAGTCCCAGCCCTTCCTGCAGAACAAAGCTTCACAGTTTGTACAGAAACAGGCATTGCCAGGGACCCAGAACTGATAATCAGGACTTTTAGGCTGGTTTAAAAAAATAACAACTTGTGGTTGGAACATAAAGGAGGAGTTATCTTGTTTTTGTTTGTACATTTTGAGTGATGGAGTTGACAGATGAAGACAAGGCTCGGCATTATTTCAATGTGGTTAGACCAAGAACATTGCTCACACCAATGAAAAGCACATCCTTCGAGCCGGAGTTGAACCAGCGACCTAAGGATGACAGCGATTACATACAGGAACATTCTACAGTCCTCCGCTCTACCAAGTGAGCTATCGAAGGGTGCTGGGGGAACAAATGCAGAAAACATAGTGGCTGAGACAACACACTATGCTAACAGGACTATTCATCCCAATAGTCAATCATAAGCCCAGCCCTTCCTGCAGAACAAAGCTTCGCAGTTTGTACAGAAAAAGGCATTGCCAGGGACCCAGAACTGATAATCAGGACTATTAGGCTGGTTGAAAAAAATAACAACTTGTGGTTGGAACATAAAGGAGGAGTTAATATTGTTTGTGTTTGTACATTTTGATTGATGGAGTTGACTAATGAAGACAAGGCTTGGCACTATTTCAATGTGATTAGACCAAGAACATTGCTCACACCAATGAAAAGCACATCCTTCGAGCCGGAGTTGAACCAGCGACCTAAGGATCACATCGATTACATTCAGGAACATCCTACAGTCCTCTGCTCTACTAACTGAGCTATCGAAGGGTGCTGTGGGAACAAATGCAGAAAACATAGTGGCTGAGACAACACACTATGCTAACAGGACTATTCATCCCAATAGTCAATCATAAGCCCAGCCCTTCCTGCAGAACAAAGCTTCACAGTTTGTACAGAAACAGGCATTGCCAGGGACCCAGAACTGATAATCAGGACTTTTAGGCTGGTTGAAAAAAAGTAACAACTTGTGGTTGGAACATAAAAGAGGAGTTAATATTGTTTGTGTTTGTACATTTTGAGTGATGGAGTTGACAGATGAAGACAAGGCTTGGCATTAATTCAATGTGATTAGACCAAGAACATTTCTAACACCAATGAAAAGCACATGCTTCGAGCCGGAGTTGAACAAGCGACCTAAGGATCACAGCGATTACATTCAGGAACATGCTACAGTACTCCTCTCTACCAACTGAGCTATCGTAGGGTGCTGGGCCAACAATGGAAGAAAACACAGTGGCTGAGACAACACACTATGCCAGCAGGACCTTTCATCCCTATGGTCAATCAAAATCCCAGCCCTTCCTGCAGAACAAAGCTCAGCAGTTTGTACCCAACAGGCATTGCCAGGGACCGAGAACTGATAATCAGGACTTTTAGGCTGGTTGAAAAAAATAACAACTTGTGGTTGGAACATAAAGGAGGAGTTATCTTGTTTTTGTTTGTACATTTTGAGTGATGGAGTTGACAGATGAAGACAAGGCTTGGCATTATTTCAATGTGATTAGACCAAGAACATTGCTCACACCAATGAAAAGCACATCCTTCGAGACGGAGTTGAACCAGCGACCTAAGGATGACAGCGATTACATTCAGGAACATTCTACAGTACTCCGCTCTACCAAGTGAGCTATCGAAGGGTGCTGGGGGAACAAATGCAGAAAACATAGTGGCTGAGACAACACACTATGCTAACAGGACTATTCATCCCGATAGTCAATCATAAGCCCAGCCCTTCCTGCAGAACAAAGCTCAGCAGTTTGTACCCAACAGGCATTGCCAGGGACCGAGAACTGATAATCAGGACTTTTAGGCTGGTTGAAAAAAAAACCAACTTGTGGTTGGAACATAAAGGAGGAGTTAACATTGTTTGTGTTTGTACATTTTGAGTGATGGAGTTGACAGATGAAGACAAGGCTTGGCATTATTTCAATGTGATTAGACCAAGAACATTTCTAACACCAATGAAAAGCACATCCTTCGAGCCGGAGTTGAACAAGCAACCTAAGGATCGCAGCAATTACATTCAGGAACATTCTACAGTTCTCCGCTCTACCAACTGAGCTATCGTAGGGTGCGGAGGCAACAATTGCAGAAAACACAGTGGCTGAGACAACACACTATGCCAGCAGGACCTTTCATCCCTATGGTCAATCAAAATCCCAGCCCTTCCTGCAGAACAAAGCTCAGCAGTTTGTACCCAACAGGCATTGCCAGGGACCGAGAACTGATAATCAGGACTTTTAAGCTGGTTGAAAAAAATAACAACTTGTGGTTGGAACATAAAGGAGGAGTTATCTTGTTTTTGTTTGTACATTTTGAGTGATGGAGTTGACAGATGAAGACAAGGCTTGGCATTATTTCAATGTGATTAGACCAAGAACATTGCTCACACTAATGAAAAGCACATCCTTCGAGACGGAGTTGAAGCAGCGACCTAAGGATCACAGCGATTACATTCAGGAACATTCTACAGTCCTCCGCTCTACCAACTGAGCTATCGAAGGGTGCTGGGCCAACAATGTCAGAAAACACAGTGGCTGAGACAACACACTATGCTAACAGGACTATTCATCCCTATGATCAATCAAAATCCCAGCCCTTCCTGCAGAACAAAGCTCAGCAGTTTGTACCCAACAGGCATTGCCAGGGACCAAGAACTGATAATCAGGACTTTTAGGCTGGTTGAAAAAAATAACAACTTGTGGTTGGAACATAAAGGAGGAGTTATCTTGTTTTTGTTTGTACATTTTGAGTGATGGAGTTGACAGATGAAGACAAGGCTTGGCATTATTTCATGGTGATTAGACCAAGAACATTGCTCACACCAATGAAAAGCACATCCTTCGAGTCGGAGTTGAACCAGCGACCTAAGGATCACAGCGATTACATTCAGGAACATTCTACAGTCATCCGCTCTACCAACTGAGCTATCGAAGGGTGCTGGGCCAACAATGTCAGAAAACACAGTGGCTGAGACAACACACTATGCTAACAGGACTATTCATCCCAATAGTCAATCATAAGCCCAGCCCTTCCTGCAGAACAAAGCTCAGCAGTTTGTACCCAACAGGCATTGCCAGGGACCCAGAACTGATAATCAGGACTTTTAGGCTGGTTGAAAAAAATAACAACTTGTGGTTGGAACATAAAGGAGGAGTTATCTTGTTTTTGTTTGTACATTTTGAGTGATGGAGTTGACAGATGAAGACAAGGCTTGGCATTATTTCAATGTGATTAGACCAAGAACATTGCTCACACCAATGAAATGCACATCCTTCGAGTCGGAGTTGAACCAGCGACCTAAGGATCACAGCGATTACATTCAGGAACATTCTACAGTCCTCCGCTCTACCAACTGAGCTATCGAAGGGTGCTGGCCCAACAATGGCAGAAAACACAGTGGCTGAGACAACACACTATGCCAACAGGACTATTCATCCCTATGGTCAATCAAAATCCCAGCCCTTCCTGCAGAACAAAGCTCAGCAGTTTGTACCCAACAGGCATTGCCAGGGACCAAGAACTGATAATCAGGACTTTTAGGCTGGTTGAAAAAAATAACAACTTGTGGTTGGAACATAAAGGAGGAGTTATCTTGTTTTCGTTTGTACATTTTGAGTGATGGAGTTGACAGATGAAGACAAGGCTTGGCATTATTTCAATGTGATTAGACCAAGAACATTGCTCACACCAATGAAAAGCACAAGCTTCGAGCCGGAGTTGAACCAGCGACCTAAGGATCACAGTGATTACATTCATGAACATTCGACAGTCCTCCGCTCTACCAACTGAGCTATCGCAGGGTGCTGGGGCAACAATGGCAGAAAACAGAGTGGCTGAGACAACACACTATGCCAACAGGACCTTTCATCCCAATGGTCAATCAAAACCCCAGCCCTTCCTGCAGAACAAAGCTCAGAATTTTGTACCCAACAGGCATTGCCAGGGACCCAGAACTGATAATCAGGACTTTTAGGCTGGTTGAAAAAAATAACAACTTGTGGTTGGAAGATAAAGGAGGAGTTATCTTGTTTTTGTTTGTACATTTTGAGTGATGGAGTTGACAGATGAAGACAAGGCTTGGCATTATTTCAATGTGATTAGACCAAGAACATTGCTCACACCAATGAAAAGCACATCCTTCAAGCCGAAGTTGAACCAGCAGCCTAAGGATCACAGCGATTACATTCAGGAACATCCTATAGTCCTCTGCTCTACCAACTGAGCTATCGAAGGGTCCTGGGGAAACAAATGCAGAAAACATAGTGGCTGAGACAACACACTATGCCAAAAGGACTATTCATCCCAATAGTCAATCATAAGCCCAGCCCTTCCTGCAGAAAAAAGCTCAGCAGTTTGTATCCAACAGGCATTGCAAGAGATCCTGAACTGATAATCAGGACTTTTAGGCTGGTTGAAAAAAATAACAACTTGTGGTTGGAACATAAAGGAGGAGAAAATGTTGTTTGTACATTTTGAGTGATGGAGTTGACAGATGAAGACAAGGTTTGGAGTGGGAGTTGAACTAGCAACCCAAGGATCACAGCCTACAGTCCTCAGCTCTACCAACTGAGCTATCGTAGGGTGCTGGGGCAACAATGGCAGAAAACACAGTGGCTGAGACAACACACTATGCCAGCAGGACCTTTCATTCCTATGGTCAATCAAAATCCCAGCCCTTCCTGCAGAACAAAGCTCAGCAGTTTGTACCCAACAGGCATTGCCAGGGACCCAGAACTGATAATCAGGACTTTTAGGCTGGTTGAAAAAAATAACAACTTGTGGTTGGAAGATAAAGGAGGAGTTATCTTGTTTTTGTTTGTACATTTTGAGTGATGGAGTTGACAGATGAAGACAAGGCTTGGCATTATTTCAATGTGATTAGACCAAGAACATTGCTCACACCAATGAAAAGCACATCCTTCGCGCCGAAGTTGAACCAGCAGCCTAAGGATCACAGCGATTACATTCAGGAACATCCTATAGTCCTCTGCTCTACCAACTGAGCTATCGAAGGGTCCTGGGGAAACAAATGCAGAAAACATAGTGGCTGAGACAACACACTATGCCAAAAGGACTATTCATCCCAATAGTCAATCATAAGCCCAGCCCTTCCTGCAGAAAAAAGCTCAGCAGTTTGTATCCAACAGGCATTGCAAGAGATCCTGAACTGATAATCAGGACTTTTAGGCTGGTTGAAAAAAATAACAACTTGTGGTTGGAACATAAAGGAGGAGAAAATGTTGTTTGTACATTTTGAGTGATGGAGTTGACAGATGAAGACAAGGTTTGGAGTGGGAGTTGAACCAGCAACCCAAGGATCACAGCCTAAAGTCCTCCGCTCTACCAACTGAACTATCAATGGGTGCTAGGGGAACAAAGGCAGAAAACAAAGTGGCTGAGACAACACACTATGCCAAAAGGACTATTCATCCCAATAGTCAATCATAAGCCCAGCCCTTCCTGCAGAAAAAAGCTCAGTAGTTTGTACCCAACAGGCATTGCCAGAGATCCTGAACTGATAATCAGGACTTTTAGGCTGGTTGAAAAAAAATAACAACTTGTGGTTGGAACATAAAGGAGGAGAAAGTGTTTGTACATTTTGAGTGATGGAGTTGACAGATGAAGACAAGGTTTGGAGTGGGAGTTGAACCAGCAACCCAAGGATCACAGCCTAAAGTCCTCCGCTCTACCAACTGAGCTATCGAAGGGTGCTGGGGGAACAAAGGCAGAAAACATAGTGATTGAGACAACACACTATGCCAAAAGGACTATTCATCCCAATAGTCAATCATAAGCCCAGCCCTTCCTGCAGAAAAAAGCTCAGTAGTTTGTACCCAACAGGCATTGCCAGAGATCCTGAACTGATAATCAGGACTTTTAGGCTGGTTGAAAAAAAAATAACAACTTGTGGTTGGAACATAAAGGAGGAGAAAATGTTGTTTGTACATTTTGAGTGATGGAGTTGACAGATGAAGACAAGGTTTGGAGTGGGAGTTGAACCACCAACCCAAGGATCACAGCCTAAAGTCCTCCGCTCTACCAACTGAGCTATCGAAGGGTGCTGGGGGAACAAAGGCAGAAAACATAGTGGCTGAGACAACACACTATGCCAAAAGGACTATTCATCCCAATAGTCAATCATAAGCCCAGCCCTTCCTGCAGAAAAAAGCTCAGTAGTTTGTATCCAACAGGCATTGCCAGAGATCCTGAACTGATAATCAGGACTTTTAGGCTGGTTGAAAAAAAAATAACAACTTGTGGTTGGAACATAAAGGAGGAGAAAATGTTGTTTGTACATTTTGAGTGATGGAGTTGGCAGATGAAGACAAGGTTTGGAGTGGGAGTTGAACCAGCAACCCAAGGATCACAGCCTAAAGTCCTCCGCTCTACCAACTGAGCTATCGAAGGGTGCTGGGGGAACAAAGGCAGAAAACATAGTGGCTGAGACAACACACTATGCCAAAAGGACTATTCATCCCAATAGTCAATCATAAGCCCAGCCCTTCCTGCAGAAAAAAGCTCAGTAGTTTGTACCCAACAGGCATTGCCAGAGATCCTGAACTGATAATCAGGACTTTTAGGCTGGTTGAAAAAAAAATAACAACTTGTGGTTGGAACATAAAGGAGGAGAGAATGTTGTTTGTACATTTTGAGTGATGGAGTTGACAGATGAAGACAAGGTTTGGAGTGGGAGTTGAACCAGCAACCCAAGGATCACAGCCTAAAGTCCTCCGCTCTACCAACTGAGCTATGGAAGGGTGCTGGGGGAACAAAGGCAGAAAACATAGTGGCTGAGAAAACACACTATGCCAAAAGGACTATTCATCCCAATAGTCAATCATAAGCCCAGCCCTTCCTGCAGAAAAAAGCTCAGTAGTTTGTACCCAACAGGCATTGCCAGAGATCCTGAACTGATAATCAGGACTTTTATGCTGGTTGAAAAAAAAATAACAACTTGTGGTTGGAACATAAAGGAGGAGAAAATGTTGTTTGTACATTTTGAGTGATGGAGTTGACAGATGAAGACAAGGTTTGGAGTGGGAGTTGAACCAGCAACCTAAGGATCACAGCCTAAAGTGCTCCGCTCTACCAACTGAGCTATCGAAGGGTGCTGGCGGAACAAAGGCAGAAAACATAGTGGCTGAGACAACACACTATGCCAAAAGGACTATTCATCCCAATAGTCAATCATAAGCCCAGCCCTTCCTGCAGAAAAAAGCTCAGTAGTATGTATCCAACAGGCATTGCCAGAGATCCTGAACTGATAATCAGGACTTTTAGGCTGGTTGAAAAAAAATAACAACTTGTGGTTGGAACATAAAGGAGGAGAAAATGTTGTTTGTACATTTTGAGTGATGGAGTTGACAGATGAAGACAAGGTTTGGAGTGGGAGTTGAACCAGCAACCCAAGGATCACAGCCTAAAGTCCTCCGCTCTACCAACTGAGCTATCGAAGGGTGCTGGGGGAACAAAGGCAGAAAACATAGTGGCTGAGACAACACACTATGCCAAAAGGACTATTCATCCCAATAGTCAATCATAAGCCCAGCCCTTCCTGCAGAAAAAAGCTCAGTAGTTTGTACCCAACAGGCATTGCCAGAGATCCTGAACTGATAATCAGGACTTTTAGGCTGGTTGAAAAAAAAATAACAACTTGTGGTTGGAACATAAATGAGAAGAAAATGTTGTTTGTACATTTTGAGTGATGGAGTTGACAGATGAAGACAAGGTTTGGAGTGGGAGTTGAACCAGCAACCTAAGGATCACAGCCTAAAGTCCTCCGCTCTACCAACTGAGCTATCGATGGGTGCTGGGGGAACAAAGGCAGAAAACATAGTGGCTGAGACAACACACTATGCCAAAAGGACTATTCATCTCAATAGTCAATCATAAGCCCAGCCCTTCCTGCAGAAAAAAGCTCAGTAGTATGTATCCAACAGGCATTGCCAGAGATCCTGAACTGATAATCAGGACTTTTAGGCTGGTTGAAAAAAAATAACAACTTGTGGTTGGAACATAAAGGAGGAGAAAATGTTGTTTGTACATTTTGAGTGATGGAGTTGGCAGATGAAGACAAGGTTTGGAGTGGGAGTTGAACCAGCAACCCAAGGATCACAGCCTAAAGTCCTCCGCTCTACCAACTGAGCTATCGAAGGGTGCTGGGGGAACAAAGGCAGAAAACATAGTGGCTGAGACAACACACTATGCCAAAAGGACTATTCATCCCAATAGTCAATCATAAGCCCATCCCTTCCTGCAGAAAAAAGCTCAGTAGTTTGTACCCAACAGGCATTGCCAGAGATCCTGAACTGATAATCAGGACTTTTATGCTTTTTGAAAAAAAAATAACAACTTGTGGTTGGAACATAAAGGAGGAGAAAATGTTGTTTGTACATTTTGAGTGATGGAGTTGACAGATGAAGACAAGGTTTGGAGTGGGAGTTGAACCAGCAACCCAAGGATCACAGCCTAAAGTCCTCCGCTCTACCAACTGAGCTATCGAAGGGTGCTGGGGGAACAAAGGCAGAAAACATAGTGGCTGAGACAACACACTATGCCAAAAGGACTATTCATCCCAATAGTCAATCATAAGCCCAGCCCTTCCTGCAGAAAAAAGCTCAGTAGTATGTATCCAACAGGCATTGCCAGAGATCCTGAACTGATAATCAGGACTTTTAGGCTGGTTGAAATAAAAATAACAACTTGTGGTTGGAACATAAAGGAGGAGAAAATGTTTTTTGTACATTTTGAGTGATGGAGTTGACAGATGAAGACAAGGTTTGGAGTGGGAGTTGAACCAGCAACCCAAGGATCACAGCCTAAAGTCCTCCGCTCTACCAACTGAGCTATCGAAGGGTGCTGGGGGAACAAAGGCAGAAAACATAGTGGCTGAGACAACACACTATGCCAAAAGGACTATTCATCCCAATAGTCAATCATAAGCCCAGCCCTTCCTGCAGAAAAAAGCTCAGTAGTTTGTATCCAACAGGCATTGCAAGAGATCCTGAACTGATAATCAGGACTTTTAGGCTGGTTGAAAAAAAAATAACAACTTGTGGTTGGAACATAAAGGAGGAGTGATGGAGTTGACAGATGAAGACAAGGTTTGGAGTGGGAGTTGAACCAGCAACCCAAGGATCACAGCCTCAAGTCCTCCGCTCTACCAACTGAGCTATCGAAGGGTGCTGGCACCAAAGGCAGAAAACATAGTGGCTGAGACAACACACTATGCCAAAAGGACTATTCATCCCAATAGTCAATCATAAGCCCAGCCCTTCCTGCAGAAAAAAGCTCAGTAGTTTGTACCCAACAGGCATTGCCAGAGATCCTGAACTGATAATCAGGACTTTTAGGCTGGTTGAAAAAAAAATAACAACTTGTGGTTGGAACATAAAGGAGGAGAAAATGTTGTTTGTACATTTTGAGTGATGGAGTTGGCAGAAGAAGACAAGGTTTGGAGTGGGAGTTGAACCAGCAACCCAAGGATCACAGCCTAAAGTCCTCCGCTCTACCAACTGAGCTATCGAAGGGTGCTGGGGGAACAAAGGCAGAAAACATAGTGGCTGAGACAACACACTATGCCAAAAGGACTATTCATCCCAATAGTCAATCATAAGCCCAGCCCTTCCTGCAGAAAAAAGCTCAGTAGTTTGTACCCAACAGGCATTGCCAGAGATCCTGAACTGATAATCAGGACTTTTATGCTGGGTGAAAAAAAAATAACAACTTGTGGTTGGAACATAAAGGAGGAGAAAATGTTGTTTGTACATTTTGAGTGATGGAGTTGACAGATGAAGACAAGGTTTGGAGTGGGAGTTGAACCAGCAACCCAAGGATCACAGCCTAAAGTCCTCCGCTCTACTAACTGAGCTATCGAAGGGTGCTGGGGGAACAAAGGCAGAAAACATAGTGGCTGAGACAACACACTATGCCAAAAGGACTATTCATCCCAATAGTCAATCATAAGCCCAGCCCTTCCTGCAGAAAAAAGCTCAGTAGTTTGTATCCAACAGGCATTGCCAGAGATCCTGAACTGATAATCAGGACTTTTAGGCTGGTTGAAAAAAAAATAACAACTTGTGGTTGGAACATAAAGGAGGAGAAAATGTTGTTTGTACATTTTGAGTGATGGAGTTGACAGATGAATACAAGGTTTGGAGTGGGAGTTGAACCAGCAACCCAAGGATCACAGCCTAAAGTCCTCCGCTCTACTAACTGAGCTATCGAAGGGTGCTGGGGGAACAAAGGCAGAAAACATAGTGGCTGAGACAACACACTATGCCAAAAGGACTATTCATCCCAATAGTCAATCATAAGCCCAGCCCTTCCTGCAGAAAAAAGCTCAGTAGTTTGTATCCAACAGGCATTGCCAGAGATCCTGAACTGATAATCAGGACTTTTAGGCTGGTTGAAAAAAAAATTACAACTTGTGGTTGGAACATAAAGGAGGAGAAAATGTTGTTTGTACATTTTGAGTGATGGAGTTGACAGATGAAGCCAAGGTTTGGAATGGGAGTTGAACCAGCAACCCAAAGATCACAGCCTAAAGTCCTCCGCTCTACCAACTGAGCTATCGAAGGGTGCTGGGGGAACAAAGGCAGAAAACATAGTGGCTGAGACAACACACTATGCCAAAAGGACTATTCATCCCAATAGTCAATCATAAGCCCAGCCCTTCCTGCAGAAAAAAGCTCAGTAGTTTGTACCCAACAGGCATTGCCAGAGATCCTGAACTGATAATCAGGACTTTTAGGCTGGTTGAAAAAAAATAACAACTTGTGGTTGGAACATAAAGGAGGAGAAAATGTTGTTTGTACATTTTGAGTGATGGAGTTGACAGATGAAGACAAGGTTTGGAGTGGGAGTTGAACCAGCAACCCAAGGAACACAGCCTAAAGTCCTCCGCTCTACCAATTGAGCTATCGAAGGGTGCTGGGGGAACAAAGGCAGAAAACATAGTGGCTGAGACAACACACTATGCCAAAAGGACGATTCATCCCAATAGTCAATCATAAGCCCAGCCCTTCCTGCAGAAAAAAGCTCAGTAGTTTGTACCCAACAGGCATTGCCAGAGATCCTGAACTGATAATCAGGACTTTTAGGCTGGTTGAAAAAAAAATAACAACTTGTGGTTGGAACATAAAGGAGGAGAAAATGTTGTTTGTACATTTTGAGTGATGGAGTTGACAGATGAAGACAAGGTTTCGAGTGGGAGTTGAACCAGCAACCCAAGGATCACAGCCTAAAGTCCTCCGCTCTACCAACTGAGCTATCGAAGGGTGCTGGGGGAATAAAGGCAGAAAACATAGTGGCTGAGACAACACACTATGCTCAAAGGACTATTCATCCCAATAGTCAATCATAAGCCCAGCCCTTCCTGCAGAAAAAAGCTCAGTAGTTTGTACCCAACAGGCATTGCCAGAGATCCTGAACTGATAATCAGGACTTTTAGGCTGGTTGAAAAAAAAATAACAACTTGTGGTTGGAACATAAAGGAGGAGAAAATGTTGTTTGTACATTTTGAGTGATGGAGTTGACAGATGAAGACAAGGTTTGGAGTGGGAGTTGAACCAGCAACCCAAGGATCACAGCCTAAAGTCCTCCGCTCTACCAACTGAGCTATCGAAGGGTGCTGGGGGAACAAAGGCAGAAAACATAGTGGCTGAGACAACACACTATGCCAAAAGGACTATTCATCTCAATAGTCAATCATAAGCCCAGCCCTTCCTGCAGAAAAAAGCTCAGTAGTATGTATCCAACAGGCATTGCCAGAGATCCTGAACTGATAATCCGGACTTTTAGGCTGGTTGAAAAAAAAATAACAACTTGTGGTTGGAACATAAAGGAGGAGAAAATGTTGTTTGTACATTTTGAGTGATGGAGTTGACAGATGAAGACAAGGTTTCGAGTGGGAGTTGAACCAGCAACCCAAGGATCACAGCCTAAAGTCCTCCGCTCTACCAACTGAGCTATCAAGGTGCTGGGGGAACAAAGGCAGAAAACATAGTGGCTGAGACAACACACTATGCCAAAAGGACTATTCATCCCAATAGTCAATCATAAGCCCAGCCCTTCCTGCAGAAAAAAGCTCAGTAGTTTGTACCCAACAGGCATTGCCAGAGATCCTGAACTGATAATCAGGACTTTTATGCTTTTTGAAAAAAAAATAACAACTTGTGGTTGGAACATAAAGGAGGAGAAAATGTTGTTTGTACATTTTGAGTGATGGAGTTGACAGATGAAGACAAGGTTTGGAGTGGGAGTTGAACCAGCAACCCAAGGATCACAGCCTAAAGTCCTCCGCTCTACCAACTGAGCTATCGAAGGGTGCTGGGGGAACAAAGGCAGAAAACATAGTGGCTGAGACAACACACTATGCCAAAAGGACTATTCATCCCAATAGTCAATCATAAGCCCAGCCCTTCCTGCAGAAAAAAGCTCAGTAGTATGTATCCAACAGGCATTGCCAGAGATCCTGAACTGATAATCAGGACTTTTAGGCTGGTTGAAATAAAAATAACAACTTGTGGTTGGAACATAAAGGAGGAGAAAATGTTTTTTGTACATTTTGAGTGATGGAGTTGACAGATGAAGACAAGGTTTGGAGTGGGAGTTGAACCAGCAACCCAAGGATCACAGCCTAAAGTCCTCCGCTCTACCAACTGAGCTATCGAAGGGTGCTGGGGGAACAAAGGCAGAAAACATAGTGGCTGAGACAACACACTATGCCAAAAGGACTATTCATCCCAATAGTCAATCATAAGCCCAGCCCTTCCTGCAGAAAAAAGCTCAGTAGTTTGTATCCAACAGGCATTGCCAGAGATCCTGAACTGATAATCAGGACTTTTAGGCTGGTTGAAAAAAAATAACAACTTGTGGTTGGAACATAAAGGAGGAGAAAATGTTGTTTGTACTTTTGAGTGATGGAGTTGACAGATGAAGACAAGGTTTGGAGTGGGAGTTGAACCAGGAACCTAAGGATCACAGCCTAAAGTCCTCCGCTCTACCAACTGAGCTATCGAAGGGTGCTGGGGGAATAAAGGCAGAAAACATAGTGGCTGAGACAACACACTATGCTCAAAGGACTATTCATCCCAATAGTCAATCATAAGCCCAGCCCTTCCTGCAGAAAAAAGCTCAGTAGTTTGTATCCAACAGGCATTGCCAGAGATCCTGAACTGATAATCAGGACTTTTAGGCTGGTTGAAAAAAAAATAACAACTTGTGGTTGGAACATAAAGGAGGAGAAAATGTTGTTTGTACATTTTGAGTGATGGAGTTGACAGATGAAGACAAGGTTTGGAGTGGGAGTTGAACCAGCAACCCAAGGATCACAGCCTAAAGTCCTCCGCTCTACCAACTGAGCTATCGAAGGGTGCTGGGGGAATAAAGGCAGAAAACATAGTGGCTGAGACAACACACTATGCTCAAAGGACTATTCATCCCAATAGTCAATCATAAGCCCAGCCCTTCCTGCAGAAAAAAGCTCAGTAGTTTGTACCCAACAGGCATTGCCAGAGATCCTGAACTGATAATCAGGACTTTTAGGCTGGTTGAAAAAAAAATAACAACTTGTGGTTGGAACATAAAGGAGGAGTAAATGGTGTTTGTACATTTTGAGTGATGGAGTTGACAGATGAAGACAAGGTTTGGAGTGGGAGTTGAACAAGCAACCCAAGGATCACAGCCTAAAGTCCTCCGCTCTACCAACTGAGCTATCGAAGGGTGCTGGGGGAAAAAAGGCAGAAAACATAGTGGCTGAGACAACACACTATGCCAAAAGGACTATTCATCCCAATAGTCAATCATAAGCCCAGCCCTTCCTGCAGAAAAAAGCTCAGTAGTTTGTACCCAACAGGCATTGCCAGAGATCCTGAACTGATAATCAGGACTTTTAGGCTGGTTGAAAAAAAATAACAACTTGTGGTTGGAACATAAAGGAGGAGAAAATGTTGTTTGTACATTTTTGAGTGATGGAGTTGGCAGATGAAGACAAGGTTTGGAGTGGGAGTTGAACCAGCAACCCAAGGATCACAGCCTAAAGTCCTCCGCTCTACCAACTGAGCTATGGAAGGGTGCTGGGGGAACAAAGGCAGAAAACATAGTGGCTGAGACAACACACTACGCCAAAAGGACTATTCATCCCAAAAGTCAATCATAAACCCAGCCCTTCCTGCAGAAAAAGCTCAGTAGTTTGTACCCAACAGGCATTGCCAGAGATCCTGAACTGATAATCAGGACTTTTAGGCTGGTTGAAAAAAAATAACAACTTGTGGTTGGAACATAAAGGAGGAGAAAATGTTGTTTGAACATTTTTGAGTGATGGAGTTGGCAGATGAAGACAAGGTTTGGAGTGGGAGTTGAACCAGCAACCCAAGGATCACAGCCTAAAGTCCTCCGCTCTACCAACTGAGCTATCGAAGGGTGCTGGGGGAACAAAGGCAGAAAACATAGTGGCTGAGACAACACACTATGCCAAAAGGACTATTCATCCCAATAGTCAATCATAAGCCCAGCCCTTCCTGCAGAAAAAAGCTCAGTAGTTTGTACCCAACAGGCATTGCCAGAGATCCTGAACTGATAATCAGGACTTTTATGCTGGTTGAAAAAAAAATAACAACTTGTGGTTGGAACATAAAGGAGGAGAAAATGTTATTTGTACATTTTGAGTGATGGAGTTGACAGATGAAGACAAGGTTTGGAGTGGGAGTTGAACCAGCAACCCAAGGAACACAGCCTAAAGTCCTCCGCTCTACCAACTGAGCTATCGAAGGGTGCTGGGGGAAAAAAGGCAGAAAAAAAAGTGGCTGAGACAACACACTATGCCAAAAGGACTATTCATCCCAATAGTCAATCATAAGCCCAGCCCTTCCTGCAGAAAAAAGCTCAGTAGTATGTATCCAACAGGCATTGCCAGAGATCCTGAACTGATAATCAGGACTTTTAGGCTGGTTGAAATAAAAATAACAACTTGTGGTTGGAACATAAAGGAGGAGAAAATGTTTTTTGTACATTTTGAGTGATGGAGTTGACAGATGAAGACAAGGTTTGGAGTGGGAGTTGAACCAGCAACCCAAGGATCACAGCCTAAAGTCCTCCGCTCTACCAACTGAGCTATCGAAGGGTGCTGGGGGAACAAAGGCAGAAAACATAGTGGCTGAGACAACACACTATGCCAAAAGGACTATTCATCCCAATAGTCAATCATAAGCCCAGCCCTTCCTGCAGAAAAAAGCTCAGTAGTTTGTATCCAACAGGCATTGCCAGAGATCCTGAACTGATAATCAGGACTTTTAGGCTGGTTGAAAAAAAATAACAACTTGTGGATGGAACATAAAGGAGGAGAAAATGTTGTTTGTACTTTTGAGTGATGGAGTTGACAGATGAAGACAAGGTTTGGAGTGGGAGTTGAACCAGCAACCTAAGGATCACAGCCTAAAGTCCTCCGCTCTACCAACTGAGCTATCGAAGGGTGCTGGGGGAATAAAGGCAGAAAACATAGTGGCTGAGACAACACACTATGCTCAAAGGACTATTCATCCCAATAGTCAATCATAAGCCCAGCCCTTCCTGCAGAAAAAAGCTCAGTAGTTTGTATCCAACAGGCATTGCCAGAGATCCTGAACTGATAATCAGGACTTTTAGGCTGGTTGAAAAAAAATAACAACTTGTGGTTGGAACATAAAGGAGGAGAAAATGTTGTTTGTACATTTTGAGTGATGGAGTTGACAGATGAAGACAAGGTTTGGAGTGGGAGTTGAACCAGCAACCCAAGGATCACAGCCTAAAGTCCTCCGCTCTACCAACTGAGCTATCGAAGGGTGCTGGGGGAATAAAGGCAGAAAACATAGTGGCTGAGACAACACACTATGCTCAAAGGACTATTCATCCCAATAGTCAATCATAAGCCCAGCCCTTCCTGCAGAAAAAAGCTCAGTAGTTTGTACCCAACAGGCATTGCCAGAGATCCTGAACTGATAATCAGGACTTTTAGGCTGGTTGAAAAAAAAATAACAACTTGTGGTTGGAACATAAAGGAGGAGTAAATGGTGTTTGTACATTTTGAGTGATGGAGTTGACAGATGAAGACAAGGTTTGGAGTGGGAGTTGAACCAGCAACCCAAGGATCACAGCCTAAAGTCCTCCGCTCTACCAACTGAGCTATCGAAGGGTGCTGGGGGAACAAAGGCAGAAAACATAGTGGCTGAGACAACACACTATGCCAAAAGGACTATTCATCCCAATAGTCAATCATAAGCCCAGCCCTTCCTGCAGAAAAAAGCTCAGTAGTTTGTACCCAACAGGCATTGCCAGAGATCCTGAACTGATAATCAGGACTTTTAGGCTGGTTGAAAAAAAATAACAACTTGTGGTTGGAACATAAAGGAGGAGAAAATGTTGTTTGTACATTTTGAGTGATGGAGTTGACAGATGAAGACAAGGTTTCGAGTGGGAGTTGAACCAGCAACCCAAGGATCACAGCCTAAAGTCCTCCGCTCTACCAACTGAGCTATGGAAGGGTGCTGGGGGAACAAAGGCAGAAAACATAGTGGCTGAGACAACACACTATGCTCAAAGGACTATTCATCCCAATAGTCAATCATAAGCCCAGCCCTTCCTGCAGAAAAAAGCTCAGTAGTTTGTACCCAACAGGCATTGCCAGAGATCCTGAACTGATAATCAGGACTTTTAGGCTGGTTGAAAAAAAAATAACAACTTGTGGTTGGAACATAAAGGAGGAGAAAATGTTGTTTGTACATTTTGAGTGATGGAGTTGACAGATGAAGACAAGGTTTGGAGTGGGAGTTGAACCAGCAACCCAAGGATCACAGCCTAAAGTCCTCCGCTCTACCAACTGAGCTATCGAAGGGTGCTGGGGGAACAAAGGCAGAAAACATAGTGGCTGAGACAACACACTATGCCAAAAGGACTATTCATCTCAATAGTCAATCATAAGCCCAGCCCTTCCTGCAGAAAAAAGCTCAGTAGTATGTTTCCAACAGGCATTGCCAGAGATCCTGAACTGATAATCAGGACTTTTAGGCTGGTTGAAAAAAAAATAACAACTTGTGGTTGGAACATAAAGGAGGAGAAAATGTTGTTTGTACATTTTGAGTGATGGAGTTGACAGATGAAGACAAGGTTTCGAGTGGGAGTTGAACCAGCAACCCAAGGATCACAGCCTAAAGTCCTCCGCTCTACCAACTGAGCTATCGAAGGGTGCTGGGGGAACAAAGGCAGAAAACATAGTGGCTGAGACAACACACTATGCCAAAAGGACTATTCATCCCAATAGTCAATCATAAGCCCAGCCCTTCCTGCAGAAAAAAGCTCAGTAGTTTGTACCCAACAGGCATTGCCAGAGATCCTGAACTGATAATCAGGACTTTTATGCTGGTTGAAAAAAAAATAACAACTTGTGGTTGGAACATAAAGGAGGAGAAAATGTTATTTGTACATTTTGAGTGATGGAGTTGACAGATGAAGACAAGGTTTGGAGTGGGAGTTGAACCAGCAACCCAAGGATCACAGCCTAAAGTCCTCCGCTCTACCAACTGAGCTATCGAAGGGTGCTGGGGGAACAAAGGCAGAAAACATAGTGGCTGAGACAACACACTATGCCAAAAGGACTATTCATCCCAATAGTCAATCATAAGCCCAGCCCTTCCTGCAGAAAAAAGCTCAGTAGTATGTATCCAACAGGCATTGCCAGAGATCCTGAACTGATAATCAGGACTTTTAGGCTGGTTGAAATAAAAATAACAACTTGTGGTTGGAACATAAAGGAGGAGAAAATGTTTTTTGTACATTTTGAGTGATGGAGTTGACAGATGAAGACAAGGTTTGGAGTGGGAGTTGAACCAGCAACCCAAGGATCACAGCCTAAAGTCCTCCGCTCTACCAACTGAGCTATCGAAGGGTGCTGGGGGAACAAAGGCAGAAAACATAGTGGCTGAGACAACACACTATGCCAAAAGGACTATTCATCCCAATAGTCAATCATAAGCCCAGCCCTTCCTGCAGAAAAAAGCTCAGTAGTTTGTATCCAACAGGCATTGCCAGAGATCCTGAACTGATAATCAGGACTTTTAGGCTGGTTGAAAAAAAATAACAACTTGTGGATGGAACATAAAGGAGGAGAAAATGTTGTTTGTACTTTTGAGTGATGGAGTTGACAGATGAAGACAAGGTTTGGAGTGGGAGTTGAACCAGGAACCTAAGGATCACAGCCTAAAGTCCTCCGCTCTACCAACTGAGCTATCGAAGGGTGCTGGGGGAATAAAGGCAGAAAACATAGTGGCTGAGACAACACACTATGCTCAAAGGACTATTCATCCCAATAGTCAATCATAAGCCCAGCCCTTCCTGCAGAAAAAAGCTCAGTAGTTTGTATCCAACAGGCATTGCCAGAGATCCTGAACTGATAATCAGGACTTTTAGGCTGGTTGAAAAAAAAATAACAACTTGTGGTTGGAACATAAAGGAGGAGAAAATGTTGTTTGTACATTTTGAGTGATGGAGTTGACAGATGAAGACAAGGTTTGGAGTGGGAGTTGAACCAGCAACCCAAGGATCACAGCCTAAAGTCCTCCGCTCTACCAACTGAGCTATCGAAGGGTGCTGGGGGAATAAAGGCAGAAAACATAGTGGCTGAGACAACACACTATGCTCAAAGGACTATTCATCCCAATAGTCAATCATAAGCCCAGCCCTTCCTGCAGAAAAAAGCTCAGTAGTTTGTACCCAACAGGCATTGCCAGAGATCCTGAACTGATAATCAGGACTTTTAGGCTGGTTGAAAAAAAAATAACAACTTGTGGTTGGAACATAAAGGAGGAGTAAATGGTGTTTGTACATTTTGAGTGATGGAGTTGACAGATGAAGACAAGGTTTGGAGTGGGAGTTGAACAAGCAACCCAAGGATCACAGCCTAAAGTCCTCCGCTCTACCAACTGAGCTATCGAAGGGTGCTGGGGGAACAAAGGCAGAAAACATAGTGGCTGAGACAACACACTATGCCAAAAGGACTATTCATCCCAATAGTCAATCATAAGCCCAGCCCTTCCTGCAGAAAAAAGCTCAGTAGTTTGTACCCAACAGGCATTGCCAGAGATCCTGAACTGATAATCAGGACTTTTAGGCTGGTTGAAAAAAAATAACAACTTGTGGTTGGAACATAAAGGAGGAGAAAATGTTGTTTGTACATTTTTGAGTGATGGAGTTGGCAGATGAAGACAAGGTTTGGAGTGGGAGTTGAACCAGCAACCCAAGGATCACAGCCTAAAGTCCTCCGCTCTACCAACTGAGCTATGGAAGGGTGCTGGGGGAACAAAGGCAGAAAACATAGTGGCTGAGACAACACACTACGCCAAAAGGACTATTCATCCCAAAAGTCAATCATAAGCCCAGCCCTTCCTGCAGAAAAAAGCTCAGTAGTTTGTATCCAACAGGCATTGCCAGAGATCCTGAACTGATAATCAGGACTTTTAGGCTGGTTGAAAAAAAAATAACAACTTGTGGTTGGAACATAAAGGAGGAGTAAATGTTGTTTGTACATTTTGAGTGATGGAGTTGACAGATGAAGACAAGGTTTGGAGTGGGAGTTGAACCAGCAACCCAAGGATCACAGCCTAAAGTCCTCCACTCTACCAACTGAGCTATTGAAGGGTGCTGGGGGAACAAAGGCAGAAAACATAGTGGCTGAGACAACACACTATGCCAAAAGGACTATTCATCCCAATAGTCAATCATAAGCCCAGCCCTTCCTGCAGAAAAAAGCTCAGTAGTTTGTATCCAACAGGCATTGCCAGAGATCCTGAACTGATAATCAGGACTTTTAGGCTGGTTGAAAAAAAAATAACAACTTGTGGTTGGAACATAAAGGAGGAGAAAATGTTGTTTGTACATTTTGAGTGATGGAGTTGACAGATGAAGACAAGGTTTGGAGTGGGAGTTGAACCAGCAACCCAAGGATCACAGCCTAAAGTCCTCCGCTCTAACAACTGAGCTATCGAAGGGTGCTGGGGGAACAAAGGCAGAAAACATAGTGGCTGAGACAACACACTATGCCAAAAGGACTATTCATCCCAATAGTCAATCATAAGCCCAGCCCTTCCTGCAGAAAAAAGCTCAGTAGTTTGTATCCAACAGGCATTGCAAGAGATCCTGAACTGATAATCAGGACTTTTAGGCTGGTTGAAAAAAAATAACAACTTGTGGTTGGAACATAAAGGAGGAGAAAATGTTTGTACATTTTGAGTGATGGAGTTGACAGATGAAGACAAGGTTTGGATTGGGAGTTGAACCAGCAACCCAAGGATCACAGCCTAAAGTCCTCCGCTCTACCAACTGAGCTATCGAAGGGTGCTGGGGGAATAAAGGCAGAAAACATAGTGGCTGAGACAACACACTATGCCAAAAGGACTATTGATCCCAATAGTCAATCATAAGCCCAGCCCTTCCTGCAGAAAAAAGCTCAGTAGTTTGTATCCAACAGGCATTGCAAGAGATCCTGAACTGATAATCAGGACTTTTAGGCTGGTTGAAAAAAAAATAACAACTTGTGGTTGGAACATAAAGGTGGAGAAAATGTTGTTTGTACATTTTCAGTGATGGAGTTGACAGATGAAGACAAGGTTTGGAGTGGGAGTTGAACCAGCAACCCAAGGATCACAGCCTAAAGTCCTCCGCTCTACCAACTGAGCTATCGAAGGGTGCTGGGGGAACAAAGGCAGAAAACATAGTGGCTGAGACAACACACTATGCCAAAAGGACTATTCATCCCAATAGTCAATCATAAGCCCAGCCCTTCCTGCAGAAAAAAGCTCAGTAGTTTGTATCCAACAGGCATTGCCAGAGATCCAGAACTGATAATCAGGACTTTTAGGCTGGTTGAAAAAAAAATAACAACTTGTGGTTGGAACATAAAGGAGGAGAAAATGGTGTTTGTACATTTTGAGTGATGGAGTTGACAGATGAAGAGAAGGTTTGGAATGGGAGTTGAACCAGCAACCCAAGGATCACAGCCTAAAGTCCTCCGCTCTACCAACTGAGCTATCGAAGGGTGGTGGCGGAATAAAGGCAGAAAACATAGTGGCTGAGACAACACACTATGCCAAAAGGACTATTCATCCCAATAGTCAATCATAAGCCCAGCCCTTCCTGCAGAAAAAAGCTCAGTAGTTTGTACCCAACAGGCATTGCCAGAGATCCTGAACTGATAATCAGGACTTTTAGGCTGGTTGAAAAAAAATAACAACTTGTGGTTGGAACATAAAGGAGGAGAAAATGTTGTTTGTACATTTTGAGTGATGGAGTTGACAGATGAAGACAAGGTTTGGAGTGGGAGTTGAACCAGCAACCCAAGGAACACAGCCTAAAGTCCACCGCTCTACCAATTGAGCTATCGAAGGGTGCTGGGGGAATAAAGGCAGAAAACATAGTGGCTGAGACAACACACTATGCCAAAAGGACTATTCATCCCAATAGTCAATCATAAGCCCAGCCCTTCCTGCAGAAAAAAGCTCAGTAGTTTGTACCCAACAGGCATTGCCAGAGATCCTGAACTGATAATCAGGACTTTTAGGCTGGTTGAAAAAAAATAACAACTTGTGGTTGGAACATAAAGGAGGAGAAAATGTGTTTTGTACATTTTGAGTGATGGAGTTGACAGATGAAGACAAGGTTTGGAGTGGGAGTTGAACCAGCAACCTAAGGATCACAGCCTAAAGTCCTCCGCTCTACCAACTGAGCTATGGAAGGGTGCTGGGGGAACAAAGGCAGAAAACATAGTGGCTGAGACAACACACTACGCCAAAAGGACTATTCATCCCAAAAGTCAATCATAAGCCCAGCCCTTCCTGCAGAAAAAAGCTCAGTAGTTTGTACCCAACAGGCATTGCCAGAGATCCTGAACTGATAATCAGGACTTTTAGGCTGGTTGAAAAAAAATAACAACTTGTGGTTGGAACATAAAGGAGGAGAAAATGTTGTTTGAACATTTTTGAGTGATGGAGTTGGCAGATGAAGACAAGGTTTGGAGTGGGAGTTGAACCAGCAACCCAAGGATCACAGCCTAAAGTCCTCCGCTCTACCAACTGAGCTATCGAAGGGTGCTGGGGGAACAAAGGCAGAAAACATAGTGGCTGAGACAACACACTATGCCAAAAGGACTATTCATCCCAATAGTCAATCATAAGCCCAGCCCTTCCTGCAGAAAAAAGCTCAGTAGTTTGTACCCAACAGGCATTGCCAGAGATCCTGAACTGATAATCAGGACTTTTATGCTGGTTGAAAAAAAAAAACAACTTGTGGTTGGAACATAAAGGAGGAGAAAATGTTGTTTGTACATTTTGAGTGATGGAGTTGACAGATGAAGACAAGGTTTGGAGTGGGAGTTGAACCAGCAACCCAAGGAACACAGCCTAAAGTCCTCCGCTCTACCAACTGAGCTATCGAAGGGTGCTGGGGGAAAAAAGGCAGAAAAAAAAGTGGCTGAGACAACACACTATGCCAAAAGGACTATTCATCCCAATAGTCAATCATAAGCCCAGCCCTTCCTGCAGAAAAAAGCTCAGTAGTATGTATCCAACAGGCATTGCCAGAGATCCTGAACTGATAATCAGGACCTTTAGGCTGGTTGAAATAAAAATAACAACTTGTGGTTGGAACATAAAGGAGGAGAAAATGTTTTTTGTACATTTTGAGTGATGGAGTTGACAGATGAAGACAAGGTTTGGAGTGGGAGTTGAACCAGCAACCCAAGGATCACAGCCTAAAGTCCTCCGCTCTACCAACTGAGCTATCGAAGGGTGCTGGGGGAACAAAGGCAGAAAACATAGTGGCTGAGACAACACACTATGCCAAAAGGACTATTCATCCCAATAGTCAATCATAAGCCCAGCCCTTCCTGCAGAAAAAAGCTCAGTAGTTTGTATCCAACAGGCATTGCCAGAGATCCTGAACTGATAATCAGGACTTTTAGGCTGGTTGAAAAAAAATAACAACTTGTGGATGGAACATAAAGGAGGAGAAAATGTTGTTTGTACTTTTGAGTGATGGAGTTGACAGATGAAGACAAGGTTTGGAGAGGGAGTTGAACCAGCAACCTAAGGATCACAGCCTAAAGTCCTCCGCTCTACCAACTGAGCTATCGAAGGGTGCTGGGGGAATAAAGGCAGAAAACATAGTGGCTGAGACAACACACTATGCTCAAAAGGACTATTCATCCCAATAGTCAATCATAAGCCCAGCCCTTCCTGCAGAAAAAAGCTCAGTAGTTTGTATCCAACAGGCATTGCCAGAGATCCTGAACTGATAATCAGGACTTTTAGGCTGGTTGAAAAAAAAATAACAACTTGTGGTTGGAACATAAAGGAGGAGAAAATGTTGTTTGTACATTTTGAGTGATGGAGTTGACAGATGAAGACAAGGTTTGGAGTGGGAGTTGAACCAGCAACCCAAGGATCACAGCCTAAAGTCCTCCGCTCTACCAACTGAGCTATCGAAGGGTGCTGGGGGAATAAAGGCAGAAAACATAGTGGCTGAGACAACACACTATGCTCAAAGGACTATTCATCCCAATAGTCAATCATAAGCCCAGCCCTTCCTGCAGAAAAAAGCTCAGTAGTTTGTACCCAACAGGCATTGCCAGAGATCCTGAACTGATAATCAGGACTTTTAGGCTGGTTGAAAAAAAAATAACAACTTGTGGTTGGAACATAAAGGAGGAGTAAATGGTGTTTGTACATTTTGAGTGATGGAGTTGACAGATGAAGACAAGGTTTGGAGTGGGAGTTGAACCAGCAACCCAAGGATCACAGCCTAAAGTCCTCCGCTCTACCAACTGAGCTATCGAAGGGTGCTGAGGGAACAAAGGCAGAAAACATAGTGGCTGAGACAACACACTATGCCAAAAGGACTATTCATCCCAATAGTCAATCATAAGCCCAGCCCTTCCTGCAGAAAAAAGCTCAGTAGTTTGTACCCAACAGGCATTGCCAGAGATCCTGAACTGATAATCAGGACTTTTAGGCTGGTTGAAAAAAAATAACAACTTGTGGTTGGAACATAAAGGAGGAGAAAATGTTGTTTGTACATTTTGAGTGATGGAGTTGACAGATGAAGACAAGGTTTGGAGTGGGAGTTGAACCAGCAACCCAAGGATCACAGCCTAAAGTCCTCCGCTCTACCAACTGAGCTATGGAAGGGTGCTGGGGGAACAAAGGCAGAAAACATAGTGGCTGAGACAACACACTATGCCAAAAGGACTATTCATCCCAATAGTCAATCATAAGCCCAGCCCTTCCTGCAGAAAAAAGCTCAGTAGTTTGTATCCAACAGGCATTGCCAGAGATCCTGAACTGATAATCAGGACTTTTAGGCTGGTTGAAAAAAAAATAACAACTTGTGGTTGGAACATAAAGGAGGAAAAAAATTTTTGTACATTTTGAGTGATGGAGTTGACAGATGAAGACAAGGTTTGGAGTGGGAGTTGAACCAGCAACCCAAGGATCACAGCCTAAAGTCCTCCACTCTACCAACTGAGCTATCGAAGGGTGCTTGGGCAACAAAGGCAGAAAACATAGTGGCTGAGACAACACACTATGCCAATAGGACTATTCATCCCAATAGTCAATCATAAGCCCAGCCCTTCCTGCAGAAAAAAGCTCAGTAGTTTGTATCCAACAGGCATTGCCAGAGATCCTGAACTGATAATCAGGACTTTTAGGCTGGTTGAAAAAAAAATAACAACTTGTGGTTGGAACATAAAGGAGGAGAAAATGTTGTTTGTACTTTTGAGTGATGGAGTTGACAGATGAAGACAAGGTTTGGAGTGGGAGTTGAACCAGCAACCCAAGGATCACAGCCTAAAGTCCTCCGCTCTAACAACTGAGCTATCGAAGGGTGCTGGGGGAACAAAGGCAGAAAACATAGTGGCTGAGACAACACACTATGCCAAAAGGACTATTCATCCCAATAGTCAATCATAAGCCCAGCCCTTCCTGCAGAAAAAAGCTCAGTAGTTTGTATCCAACAGGCATTGCAAGAGATCCTGAACTGATAATCAGGACTTTTAGGCTGGTTGAAAAAAAATAACAACTTGTGGTTGGAACATAAAGGAGGAGAAAATGTTTGTACATTTTGAGTGATGGAGTTGACAGATGAAGACAAGGTTTGGAGTGGGAGTTGAACCAGCAACCCAAGGATCACAGCCTAAAGTCCTCCGCTCTACCAACTGAGCTATCGAAGGGTGCTGGGGGAATAAAGGCAGAAAACATAGTGGCTGAGACAACACACTATGCCAAAAGGACTATTGATCCCAATAGTCAATCATAAGCCCAGCCCTTCCTGCAGAAAAAAGCTCAGTAGTTTGTATCCAACAGGCATTGCAAGAGATCCTGAACTGATAATCAGGACTTTTAGGCTGGTTGAAAAAAAAATAACAACTTGTGGTTGGAACATAAAGGTGGAGAAAATGTTGTTTGTACATTTTCAGTGATGGAGTTGACAGATGAAGACAAGGTTTGGAGTGGGAGTTGAACCAGCAACCCAAGGATCACAGCCTAAAGTCCTCCGCTCTACCAACTGAGCTATCGAAGGGTGCTGGGGGAACAAAGGCAGAAAACATAGTGGCTGAGACAACACACTATGCCAAAAGGACTATTCATCCCAATAGTCAATCATAAGCCCAGCCCTTCCTGCAGAAAAAAGCTCAGTAGTTTGTATCCAACAGGCATTGCCAGAGATCCTGAACTGATAATCAGGACTTTTAGGCTGGTTGAAAAAAAAATAACAACTTGTGGTTGGAACATAAAGGAGGAGAAAATGGTGTTTGTACATTTTGAGTGATGGAGTTGACAGATGAAGAGAAGGTTTGGAATGGGAGTTGAACCAGCAACCCAAGGATCACAGCCTAAAGTCCTCCGCTCTACCAACTGAGCTATCGAAGGGTGGTGGCGGAATAAAGGCAGAAAACATAGTGGCTGAGACAACACACTATGCCAAAAGGACTATTCATCCCAATAGTCAATCATAAGCCCAGCCCTTCCTGCAGAAAAAAGCTCAGTAGTTTGTACCCAACAGGCATTGCCAGAGATCCTGAACTGATAATCAGGACTTTTAGGCTGGTTGAAAAAAAATAACAACTTGTGGTTGGAACATAAAGGAGGAGAAAATGTTGTTTGTACATTTTGAGTGATGGAGTTGACAGATGAAGACAAGGTTTGGAGTGGGAGTTGAACCAGCAACCCAAGGAACACAGCCTAAAGTCCACCGCTCTACCAATTGAGCTATCGAAGGGTGCTGGGGGAATAAAGGCAGAAAACATAGTGGCTGAGACAACACACTATGCCAAAAGGACTATTCATCCCAATAGTCAATCATAAGCCCAGCCCTTCCTGCAGAAAAAAGCTCAGTAGTTTGTACCCAACAGGCATTGCCAGAGATCCTGAACTGATAATCAGGACTTTTAGGCTGGTTGAAAAAAAATAACAACTTGTGGTTGGAACATAAAGGAGGAGAAAATGTGTTTTGTACATTTTGAGTGATGGAGTTGACAGATGAAGACAAGGTTTGGAGTGGGAGTTGAACCAGCAACCCAAGGATCACAGCCTAAAGTCCTCCGCTCTACCAACTGAGCTATCGAAGGGTGCTGGGGGAACAAAGGCAGAAAACATAGTGGCTGAGACAACACACTATGCCAAAAGGACTATTGATCCCAATAGTCAATCATAAGCCCAGCCCTTCCTGCAGAAAAAAGCTCAGTAGTTTGTACCCAACAGGCATTGCCAGAGATCCTGAACTGATAATCAGGACTTTTAGGCTGGTTGAAAAAAAATAACAACTTGTGGTTGGAACATAAAGGAGGAGTAAATGTTGTTTGTACATTTTGAGTGATGGAGTTGACAGATGAAGACAAGGTTTGGAGTGGGAGTTGAACCAGCAACCCAAGGAACACAGCCTAAAGTCCTCCGCTCTACCAATTGAGCTATCGAAGGGTGCTGGGGGAATAAAGGCAGAAAACATAGTGGCTGAGACAACACACTATGCCAAAAGGACTATTCATCCCAATAGTCAATCATAAGCCCAGCCCTTCCTGCAGAAAAAAGCTCTGTAGTTTGTACCCAACAGGCATTGCCAGAGATCCTGAACTGATAATCAGGACTTTTAGGCTGGTTGAAATAAAAATAACAACTTGTGGTTGGAACATAAAGGAGGAGAAAATGTTGTTTGTACATTTTCAGTGATGGAGTTGACAGATGAAGACAAGGTTTGGAGTGGGAGTTGAACCAGCAACCCAAGGATCACAGCCTAAAGTCCTCCGCTCTACCAACTGAGCTATTGAAGGGTGCTGGGGCAATAAAGGCAGAAAACATAGTGGCTGAGACAACACACTATGCTCAAAGGACTATTCATCCCAATAGTCAATCATAAGCCCAGCCCTTCCTGCAGAAAAAAGCTCAGTAGTTTGTACCCAACAGGCATTGCCAGAGATCCTGAACTGATAATCAGGACTTTTAGGCTGGTTGAAATAAAAATAACAACTTGTGGTTGGAACATAAAGGAGGAGAAAATGTTGTTTGTACATTTTGAGTGATGGAGTTGACAGATGAAGACAAGGTTTGGAGTGGGAGTTGAACCAGCAACCCAAGGATCACAGCCTAAAGTCCTCCACTCTACGAACTGAGCTATTGAAGGGTGCTGGGGGAACAAAGGCAGAAAACATAGTGGCTGAGACAACACACTATGCCAAAAGGACTATTCATCCCAATAGTCAATCATAAGCCCAGCCCTTCCTGCAGAAAAAAGCTCAGTAGTTTGTATCCAACAGGCATTGCCAGAGATCCTGAACTGATAATCAGGACTTTTAGGCTGGTTGAAAAAAAAATAACAACTTGTGGTTGGAACATAAAGGAGGAGAAAATGTTGTTTGTACATTTTGAGTGATGGAGTTGACAGATGAAGACAAGGTTTGGAGTGGGAGTTGAACCAGCAACCCAAGGATCACAGCCTAAAGTCCTCCGCTCTAACAACTGAGCTATCGAAGGGTGCTGGGGGAACAAAGGCAGAAAACATAGTGGCTGAGACAACACACTATGCCAAAAGGACTATTCATCCCAATAGTCAATCATAAGCCCAGCCCTTCCTGCAGAAAAAAGCTCAGTAGTTTGTATCCAACAGGCATTGCCAGAGATCCTGAACTGATAATCAGGACTTTTAGGCTGGTTGAAAAAAAAATAACAACTTGTGGTTGGAACATAAAGGAGGAGAAAATGTTGTTTGTAAATTTTGAGTGATGGAGTTGACAGATGAAGAGAAGGTTTGGAATGGGAGTTGAACCAGCAACCCAAGGATCACAGCCTAAAGTCCTCCGCTCTACCAACTGAGCTATCGAAGGGTGCTGGCGGAATAAAGGCAGAAAACATAGTGGCTGAGACAACACACTATGCCAAAAGGACTATTCATCCCAATAGTCAATCATAAGCCCAGCCCTTCCTGCAGAAAAAAGCTCAGTAGTTTGTACCCAACAGGCATTGCCAGAGATCCTGAACTGATAATCAGGACTTTTAGGCTGGTTGAAAAAAAATAACAACTTGTGGTTGGAACATAAAGGAGGAGAAAATGTTTTTTGTACATTTTGAGTGATGGAGTTGACAGATGAAGACAAGGTTTGGAGTGGGAGATGAACCAGCAACCCAAGGAACACAGCCTAAAGTCCACCGCTCTACCAATTGAGCTATCGAAGGGTGCTGGGGGAATAAAGGCAGAAAACATAGTGGCTGAGACAACACACTATGCCAAAAGGACTATTCATCCCAATAGTCAATCATAAGCCCAGCCCTTCCTGCAGAAAAAAGCTCAGTAGTTTGTACCCAACAGGCATTGCCAGAGATCCTGAACTGATAATCAGGACTTTTAGGCTGGTTGAAAAAAAATAACAACTTGTGGTTGGAACATAAAGGAGGAGAAAATGTGTTTTGTACATTTTGAGTGATGGAGTTGACAGATGAAGACAAGGTTTGGAGTGGGAGTTGAACCAGCAACCCAAGGATCACAGCCTAAAGTCCTCCGCTCTACCAACTGAGCTATCGAAGGGTGCTGGGGGAACAAAGGCAGAAAACATAGTGGCTGAGACAACACACTATGCCAAAAGGACTATTGATCCCAATAGTCAATCATAAGCCCAGCCCTTCCTGCAGAAAAAAGCTCAGTAGTTTGTACCCAACAGGCATTGCCAGAGATCCTGAACTGATAATCAGGACTTTTAGGCTGGTTGAAAAAAAATAACAACTTGTGGTTGGAACATAAAGGAGGAGTAAATGTTGTTTGTACATTTTGAGTGATGGAGTTGACAGATGAAGACAAGGTTTGGAATGGGAGTTGAACCAGCAACCCAAGGATCACAGCCTAAAGTCCTCCGCTCTACCAACTGAGCTATCGAAGGGTGCTGGGGGAATAAAGGCAGAAAACATAGTGGCTGAGACAACACACTATGCCAAAAGGACTATTCATCCCAATAGTCAATCATAAGCCCAGCCCTTCCTGCAGAAAAAAGCTCTGTAGTTTGTACCCAACAGGCATTGCCAGAGATCCTGAACTGATAATCAGGACTTTTAGGCTGGTTGAAATAAAAATAACAACTTGTGGTTGGAACATAAAGGAGGAGAAAATGTTGTTTGTACATTTTGAGTGATGGAGTTGACAGATGAAGACAAGGTTTGGAGTGGGAGTTGAACCAGCAACCCAAGGATCACAGCCTAAAGTCCTCCGCTCTACCAACTGAGCTATCGAAGGGTGCTGGGGCAATAAAGGCAGAAAACATAGTGGCTGAGACAACACACTATGCTCAAAGGACTATTCATCCCAATAGTCAATCATAAGCCCAGCCCTTCCTGCAGAAAAAAGCTCAGTAGTTTGTACCCAACAGGCATTGCCAGAGATCCTGAACTGATAATCAGGACTTTTAGGCTGGTTGAAATAAAAATAACAACTTGTGGTTGGAACATAAAGGAGGAGAAAATGTTGTTTGTACATTTTGAGTGATGAAGTTGACAGATGAAGACAAGGTTTGGAGTGGGAGTTGAACCAGCAACCCAAGGATCACAGCCTAAAGTCCTCCGCTCTACCAACTGAGCTATCGAAGGGAGGTGGGGGAACAAAGGCAGAAAACATAGTGGCTGAGACAACACACTATGCCAAAAGGACTATTGATCCCAATAGTCAATCATAAGCCCAGCCCTTCCTGCAGAAAAAAGCTCAGTAGTTTGTACCCAACAGGCATTGCCAGAGATCCTGAACTGATAATCAGGACTTTTAGGCTGGTTGAAAAAAAATAACAACTTGTGGTTGGAACATAAAGGAGGAGAAAATGTTGTTTGTACATTTTGAGTGATGGAGTTGACAGATGAAGACAAGGTTTGGAGTGGGAGTTGAACCAGCAACCCAAGGATCACAGCCTAAAGTCCTCCGCTCTACAAACTGAGCTATCGAAGGGTGCTGGGAGAACAAAGGCAGAAAACATAGTGGCTGAGACAACACACTATGCCAAAAGGACTATTCATCCCAAAAGTCAATCATAAGCCCAGCCCTTCCTGCAGAAAAAAGCTCAGTAGTTTGTACCAAACAGGCATTGCCAGAGATCCTGAAGTGATAATCAGGACTTTTAGGCTGGTTGAAAAAAAAATAACAACTTGTGGTTGGAACATAAAGGAGGAGAAAATGTTGTTTGTACATTTTGAGTGATGGAGTTGACAGATGAAGACAAGGTTTGGAGTGGGAGTTGAACCAGCAACCCAAGGATCACAGCCTAAAGTCCTCCGCTCTACCAACTGAGCTATCGAAGGGAGGTGGGGGAACAAAGGCAGAAAACATAGTGGCTGAGACAACACACTATGCCAAAAGGACTATTCATCCCAATAGTCAATCATAAGCCCAGCCCTTCCTGCAGAAAAAAGCTCAGTAGTTTGTACCCAACAGGCATTGCCAGAGATCCTGAACTGATAATCAGGACTTTTAGGCTGGTTGAAAAAAAATAACAACTTGTGGTTGGAACATAAAGGAGGAGAAAATGTGTTTTGTACATTTTGAGTGATGGAGTTGACAGATGAAGACAAGGTTTGGAGTGGGAGTTGAACCAGCAACCCAAGGATCACAGCCTAAAGTCCTCCGCTCTACCAACTGAGCTATCGAAGGGTGCTGGGGGAATAAAGGCAGAAAACATAGTGGCTGAGACAACACACTATGCCAAAAGGACTATTGATCCCAATAGTCAATCATAAGCCCAGCCCTTCCTGCAGAAAAAAGCTCAGTAGTTTGTATCCAACAGGCATTGCAAGAGATCCTGAACTGATAATCAGGACTTTTAGGCTGGTTGAAAAAAAAATAACAACTTGTGGTTGGAACATAAAGGTGGAGAAAATGTTGTTTGTACATTTTGAGTGATGGAGTTGACAGATGAAGACAAGGTTTGGAGTGGGAGTTGAACCAGCAACCCAAGGATCACAGCCTAAAGTCCTCCGCTCTACCAACTGAGCTATTGAAGGGTGCTGGGGGAACAAAGGCAGAAAACATAGTGGCTGAGACAACACACTATGCCAAAAGGACTATTCATCCCAATAGTCAATCATAAGCCCAGCCCTTCCTGCAGAAAAAAGCTCAGTAGTTTGTATCCAACAGGCATTGCCAGAGATCCTGAACTGATAATCAGGACTTTTAGGCTGGTTGAAAAAAAAATAACAACTTGTGGTTGGAACATAAAGGAGGAGAAAATGTTGTTTGTACATTTTGAGTGATGGAGTTGACAGATGAAGAGAAGGTTTGGAATGGGAGTTGAACCAGCAACCCAAGGATCACAGCCTAAAGTCCTCCGCTCTACCAACTGAGCTATCGAAGGGTGCTGGAGGAATAAAGGCAGAAAACATAGTGGCTGAGACAACACACTATGCCAAAAGGACTATTCATCCCAATAGTCAATCATAAGCCCAGCCCTTCCTGCAGAAAAAAGCTCATTAGTTTGTACCCAACAGGCATTGCCAGAGATCCTGAACTGATAATCAGGACTTTTAGGCTGGTTGAAATAAAAATAACAACTTGTGGTTGGAACATAAAGGAGGAGAAAATGTTGTTTGTACATTTTGAGTGATGGAGTTGACAGATGAAGAGAAGGTTTGGAGTGGGAGTTGAACCAGCAACCCAAGGATCACAGCCTAAAGTCCTCCGCTCTACCAACTGAGCTATCGAAGGGTGCTGGGGGAATAAAGGCAGAAAACATAGTGGCTGAGACAACACACTATGCCAAAAGGACTATTCATCCCAATAGTCAATCATAAGCCCAGCCCTTCCTGCAGAAAAAAGCTCAGTAGTTTGTACCAAACAGGCATTGCCAGAGATCCTGAACTGATAATCAGGACTTTTAGGCTGGTTGAAAAAAAATAACAACTTGTGGTTGGAACATAAAGGAGGAGAAAATGTTGTTTGTACATTTTGAGTGATGGAGTTGACAGATGAGGACAAGGTTTGGAGTGGGAGTTGAACCAGCAACCCAAGGAACACAGCCTAAAGTCCTCTGCTCTACCAATTGAGCTATCGAAGGGTGCTGCGGGAACAAAGGCAGAAAACATAGTGGCTGAGACAACACACTATGCCAAAAGGACTATTCATCCCAATAGTCAATCAGAAGCCCAGCCCTTCCTGCAGAAAAAAGCTCAGTAGTTTGTACCCAACAGGCATTGCCAGAGATCCTGAACTGATAATCAGGACTTTTAGGCTGGTTGAAAAAAAAATAACAACTTGTGGTTGGAACATAAAGGAGGAGAAAATGTTGTTTGTACATTTTGAGTGATGGAGTTGACAGATGAAGACAAGGTTTGGAGTGGGAGTTGAACCAGCAACCCAAGGATCACAGCCTAAAGTCCTCCGCTCTACCAACTGAGCTATCGAAGGGTGCTGGGGGAACTAAGGCAGAAAACATAGTGGCTGAGACAACACACTATGCTCAAAGGACTATTCATCCCAATAGTCAATCATAAGCCCAGCCCTTCCTGCAGAAAAAAGCTCAGTAGTTTGTACCCAACAGGCATTGCCAGAGATCCTGAACTGATAATCAGGACTTTTAGGCTGGTTGAAAAAAATAACAACTTGTGGTTGGAACATAAAGGAGGAGAAAATGTTGTTTGTACATTTTGAGTTGACAGATGAAGACAAGGTTTGGAGTGGGAGTTGAACCAGCAACCCAAGGATCACAGCCTAAAGTCCTCCGCTCTACCAACTGAGCTATCGAAGGGTGCTGGGGGAACAAAGGCAGAAAACATAGTGGCTGAGACAACACACTATGCCAAAAGGACTATTCATCCCAATAGTCAATCAGAAGCCCAGCCCTTCCTGCAGAAAAAAGCTCAGTAGTTTGTACCCAACAGGCATTGCCAGAGATCCTGAACTGATAATCAGGACTTTTAGGCTGGTTGAAAAAAAATAACAACTTGTGGTTGGAACATAAAGGAGGAGAAAATGTTGTTTGTACATTTTGAGTGATGGAGTTGGCAGATGAAGACAAGGTTTGGAGTGGGAGTTGAACCAGCAACCCAAGGATCACAGCCTAAAGTCCTCCGCTCTACCAACTGAGCTATCGAAGGGTGCTGGGGGAACAAAGGCAGAAAACATAGTGGCTGAGACAACACACTATGCCAAAAGGACTATTCATCCCAATAGTCAATCATAAGCCCAGCCCTTCATGCAGAAAAAAGCTCAGTAGTTTGTACCCAACAGGCATTGCCAGAGATCCTGAACTGATAATCAGGACTTTTAGGCTGGTTGAAAAAAAATAACAACTTGTGGTTGGAACATAAAGGAGGAGAAAATGTTGTTTGTACATTTTGAGTGATGGAGTTGACAGATGAAGACAAGGTTTGGAGTGGGAGTTGAACCAGCAACCCAAGGAACACAGCCTAAAGTCCTCCGCTCTACCAATTGAGCTATCGAAGGGTGCTGGGGGAATAAAGGCAGAAAACATAGTGGCTGAGACAACACACTATGCTCAAAGGACTATTCATCCCAATAGTCAATCATAAGCCCAGCCCTTCCTGCAGAAAAAAGCTCAGTAGTTTGTACCCAACAGGCATTGCCAGAGATCCTGAACTGATAATCAGGACTTTTAGGCTGGTTGAAATAAAAATAACAACTTGTGGTTGGAACATAAAGTAGGAGAAAATTTGTTTGTACATTTTGAGTGATGGAGTTGACAGATGAAGACAAGGTTTCGAGTGGGAGTTGAACCAGCAACCCCAGGATCACAGCCTAAAGTCCTCCGCTCTACCAACTGAGCTATGGAAGGGTGCTGGGGGAACAAAGGCAGAAAACATAGTGGCTGAGACAACACACTATGCTCAAAGGACTATTCATCCCAATAGTCAATCATAAGCCCAGCCCTTCCTGCAGAAAAAAGCTCAGTAGTTTGTACCCAACAGGCATTGCCAGAGATCCTGAAGTGATAATCAGGACTTTTAGGCTGGTTGAAAAAAAAATAACAACTTGTGGTTGGAACATAAAGGAGGAGAAAATGTTGTTTGTACATTTTGAGTTGACAGATGAAGACAAGGTTTGGAGTGGGAGTTGAACCAGCAACCCAAGGATCACAGCCTAAAGTCCTCCGCTCTACCAACTGAGCTATCGAAGGGTGCTGGGGGAACAAAGGCAGAAAACATAGTGGCTGAGACAACACACTATGCCAAAAGGACTATTCATCCCAATAGTCAATCATAAGCCCAGCCCTTCCTGCAGAAAAAAGCTCAGTAGTTTGTATCCAACAGGCATTGCCAGAGATCCTGAACTGATAATCAGGACTTTTAGGCTGGTTGAAAAAAAATAACAACTTGTGGTTGGAACATAAAGGAGGAGAAAATGTTGTTTGTACATTTTGAGTGATGGAGTTGGCAGATGAAGACAAGGTTTCGAGTGGGAGTTGAACCAGCAACCCAAGGATCACAGCCTAAAGTCCTCCGCTCTACCAACTGAGCTATCGAAGGGTGCTGGGGGAACAAAGGCAGAAAACATAGTGGCTGAGACAACACACTATGCCAAAAGGACTATTCATCCCAATAGTCAATCATAAGCCCAGCCCTTCCTGCAGAAAAAAGCTCAGTAGTTTGTACCCAACAGGCATTGCCAGAGATCCTGAACTGATAATCAGGACTTTTAGGCTGGTTGAAAAAAATAACAACTTGTGGTTGGAACATAAAGGAGGAGAAAATGTTGTTTGTACATTTTGAGTGATGGAGTTGGCAGATGAAGACAAGGTTTGGAGTGGGAGTTGAACCAGCAACCCAAGGATCACAGCCTAAAGTCCTCCGCTCTACCAACTGAGCTATCGAAGGGTGCTGGGGGAACAAAGGCAGAAAACATAGTGGCTGAGACAACACACTATGCCAAAAGGACTATTCATCCCAATAGTCAATCATAAGCCCAGCCCTTCCTGCAGAAAAAAGCTCAGTAGTTTGTATCCAACAGGCATTGCCAGAGATCCTGAACTGATAATCAGGACTTTTAGGCTGGTTGAAAAAAAAATTACAACTTGTGGTTGGAACATTAAGGAGGAGAAAATGTTGTTTGTACATTTTGAGTGATGGAGTTGACAGATGAAGACAAGGTTTGGAATGGGAGTTGAACCAGCAACCCAAGGATCACAGCCTAAAGTCCTCCGCTCTACCAACTGAGCTATCGAAGGGTGCTGGGGGAACAAAGGCAGAAAACATAGTGGCTGAGACAACACACTATGCCAAAAGGACTATTCATCCCAATAGTCAATCATAAGCCCAGCCCTTCCTGCAGAAAAAAGCTCAGTAGTTTGTACCCAACAGGCATTGCCAGAGATCCTGAACTGATAATCAGGACTTTTAGGCTGGTTGAAAAAAAATAACAACTTGTGGTTGGAACATAAAGGAGGAGAAAATGTTGTTTGTACATTTTGAGTGATGGAGTTGACAGATGAAGACAAGGTTTGGAGTGGGAGTTGAACCAGCAACCCAAGGAACACAGCCTAAAGTCCTCTGCTCTACCAATTGAGCTATCGAAGGGTGCTGGGGGAATAAAGGCAGAAAACATAGTGGCTGAGACAACACACTATGCCAAAAGGACTATTCATCCCAATAGTCAATCATAAGCCCAGCCCTTCCTGCAGAAAAAAGCTCAGTAGTTTGTACCCAACAGGCATTGCCAGAGATCCTGAACTGATAATCAGGACTTTTAGGCTGGTTGAAATAAAAATAACAACTTGTGGTTGGAACATAAAGGAGGAGAAAATGTTGTTTGTACATTTTGAGTGATGGAGTTGACAGATGAAGACAAGGTTTGGAGTGGGAGTTGAACCAGCAACCCAAGGATCACAGCCTAAAGTCCTCCGCTCTACCAACTGAGCTATCGAAGGGTGCTGGGGGAACAAAGGCAGAAAACATAGTGGCTGAGACAACACACTATGCTCAAAGGACTATTCATCCCAATAGTCAATCATAAGCCCAGCCCTTCCTGCAGAAAAAAGCTCAGTAGTTTGTACCCAACAGGCATTGCCAGAGATCCTGAACTGATAATCAGGACTTTTAGGCTGGTTGAAATAAAAATAACAACTTGTGGTTGGAACATAAAGGAGGAGAAAATGTTGTTTGTACATTTTGAGTGATGGAGTTGACAGATGAAGACAAGGTTTGGAGTGGGAGTTGAACCAGCAACCCAAGGATCACAGCCTAAAGTCCTCCGCTCTACCAACTGAGCTATCGAAGGGAGGTGGGGGAACAAAGGCAGAAAACATAGTGGCTGAGACAACACACTATGCCAAAAGGACTATTCATCCCAATAGTCAATCATAAGCCCAGCCCTTCCTGCAGAAAAAAGCTCAGTAGTTTGTACCCAACAGGCATTGCCAGAGATCCTGAACTGATAATCAGGACTTTTAGGCTGGTTGAAAAAAAATAACAACTTGTGGTTGGAACATAAAGGAGGAGAAAATGTGTTTTGTACATTTTGAGTGATGGAGTTGACAGATGAAGACAAGATTTGGAGTGGGAGTTGAACCAGCAACCCAAGGATCACAGCCTAAAGTCCTCCGCTCTAACAACTGAGCTATCGAAGGGTGCTGGGGGAACAAAGGCAGAAAACATAGTGGCTGAGACAACACACTATGCCAAAAGGACTATTCATCCCAAAAGTCAATCATAAGCCCAGCCCTTCCTGCAGAAAAAAGCTCAGTAGTTTGTACCAAACAGGCATTGCCAGAGATCCTGAACTGATAATCAGGACTTTTAGGCTGGTTGAAAAAAAATAACAACTTGTGGTTGGAACATAAAGGAGGAGAAAATGTTGTTTGTACATTTTGAGTGATGGAGTTGACAGATGAAGACAAGGTTTGGAGTGGGAGTTGAACCAGCAACCCAAGGATCACAGCCTAAAGTCCTCCGCTCTACCAATTGAGATATGGAAGGGTGCTGGGGGAACAAAGGCAGAAAACATAGTGCCTGAGACAACACACTATGCCAAAAGGACTATTTATCCCAATAGTCAATCATAAGCCCAGCCCTTCCTGCAGAAAAAAGCTCAGTAGTTTGTACCCAACAGGCATTGCCAGAGATCCTGAACTGATAATCAGGACTTTTAGGCTGGTTGAAAAAAAAATAACAACTTGTGGTTGAAACATAAAGGAGGAGTAAATGTTGTTTGTACATTTTGAGTGATGGAGTTGACAGATGAAGACAAGGTTTGGAGTGGGAGTTGAACCAGCAACCCAAGGATCACAGCCTAAAGTCCTCCGCTCTACCAACTGAGCTATCGAAGGGTGCTGGGGGAACAAAGGCAGAAAACATAGTGGCTGAGAAAACACACTATGCCAAAAGGACTATTCATCCCAATAGTCAATCATAAGCCCAGCCCTTCCTGCAGAAAAAAGCTCAGTAGTTTGTATCCAACAGGCATTGCCAGAGATCCTGAACTGATAATCAGGACTTTTAGGCTGGTTGAAAAAAAAATAACAACTTGTGGTTGGAACATAAAGGAGGAGAAAATGTTGTTTGTACATTTTGAGTGATGGAGTTGACAGATGAAGACAAGGTTTGGAGTGGGAGTTGAACCAGCAACCCAAGGATCACAGCCTAAAGTCCTCCGCTCTACCAACTGAGCTATCGAAGGGTGCTGGGGGAACAAAGGCAGAAAACATAGTGGCTGAGACAACACACTATGCCAAAAGGACTATTCATCCCAATAGTCAATCATAAGCCCAGCCCTTCCTGCAGAAAAAAGCTCAGTAGTTTGTACCCAACAGGCATTGCCAGAGATCCTGAACTGATAATCAGGACTTTTAGGCTGGTTGAAAAAAAATAACAACTTGTGGTTGGAACATAAAGGAGGAGAAAATGTTGTTTGTACATTTTGAGTGATGGAGTTGACAGATGAAGACAAGGTTTGGAGTGGGAGTTGAACCAGCAACCCAAGGATCACAGCCTAAAGTCCTCCGCTCTACCAACTGAGCTATCGAAGGGTGCTGGGAGAACAAAGGCAGAAAACATAGTGGCTGAGACAACACACTATGCCAAAAGGACTATTCATCCCAATAGTCAATCATAAGCCCAGCCCTTCCTGCAGAAAAAAGCTCAGTAGTTTGTACCCAACAGGCATTGCCCTTCCTGCAGAAAAAAGCTCAGTAGTTTGTATCCAACAGGCATTGCAAGAGATCCTGAACTGATAATCAGGACTTTTAGGCTGGTTGAAAAAAAAATAACAACTTGTGGTTGGAACATAAAGGAGGAGAAAATGTTGTTTGTACATTTTAAGTGATGGAGTCGACAGATGAAGACAAGGTTTGGAGTGGGAGTTGAACCAGCAACCCAAGGATCACAGCCTAAAGTCCTCCGCTCTACCAACTGAGCTATCGAAGGGTGCTGGGAGAACAAAGGCAGAAAACATAGTGGCTGAGACAACACACTATGCCAAAAGGACTATTCATCCCAATAGTCAATCATAAGCCCAGCCCTTCCTGCAGAAAAAAGCTCAGTAGTTTGTATCCAACAGGCATTGCCAGAGATCCTGAACTGATAATCAGGACTTTTAGGCTGGTTGAAAAAAAAATAACAACTTGTGGTTGGAACATAAAGGAGGAGAAAATGTTGTTTGTACATTTTGAGTGATGGAGTTGACAGATGAAGACAAGGTTTGGAGTGGGAGTTGAACCAGCAACCCAAGGATCACAGCCTAAAGTCCTCCGCTCTACCAACTGAGCTATCGAAGGGTGCTGGGGGAACAAAGGCAGAAAACATAGTGGCTGAGACAACACACTATGCCAAAAGGACTATTCATCCCAATAGTTAATCATAAGCCCAGCCCTTCCTGCAGAAAAAAGCTCAGTAGTTTGTACCCAACAGGCATTGCCCTTCCTGCAGAAAAAAGCTCAGTAGTTTGTATCCAACAGGCATTGCAGGAGATCCTGAACTGATAATCAGGACTTTTAGGCTGGTTGAAAAAAAAATAACAACTTGTGGTTGGAACATAAAGGAGGAGAAAATGTTGTTTGTACATTTTGAGTAATGGAGTTGACAGATGAAGACAAGGTTTGGAGTGGGAGTTGAACCAGCAACCCAAGGATCACAGCCTAAAGTCCTCCGCTCTACCAACTGAGCTATCGAAGGGTGCTGGGGGAACAAAGGAAGAAAACATAGTGGCTGAGACAACACACTATGCCAAAAGGACTATTCATCCCAATAGTCAATCATAAGCCCAGCCCTTCCTGCAGAAAAAAGCTCAGTAGTTTGTACCCAACAGGCATTGCAAGAGATCCTGAACTGATAATCAGGACTTTTAGGCTGGTTGAAAAAAAATAACAACTTGTGGTTGGAACATAAAGGAGGAGAAAATGTTGTTTGTACATATTGAGTGATGGAGTTGACAGATGAAGACAAGGTTTGGAGTGGGAGTTGAACCAGCAACCCAAGGATCACAGCCTAAAGTCCTCCGCTCTACCAACTGAGCTATCGAAGGGTGCTGGGGGAACAAAGGCAGAAAACATAGTGGCTGAGACAACACACTATGCCAAAAGGACTATTCATCCCAATAGTCAATCATAAGCCCAGCCCTTCCTGCAGAAAAAAGCTCAGTAGTTTGTACCCAACAGGCATTGCCCTTCCTGCAGAAAAAAGCTCAGTAGTTTGTATCCAACAGGCATTGCAAGAGATCCTGAACTGATAATCAGGACTTTTAGGCTGGTTGAAAAAAAAATAACAACTTGTGGTTGGAACATAAAGGAGGAGAAAATGTTGTTTGTACATTTTGAGTGATGGAGTTGACAGATGAAGACAAGGTTTGGAGTGGGAGTTGAACCAGCAACCCAAGGATCACAGCCTAAAGTCCTCCGCTCTACCAACTGAGCTATCGAAGGGTGCTGGAGGAATAAAGGCAGAAAACATAGTGGCTGAGACAACACACTATGCCAAAAGGACTATTCATCCCAATAGTCAATCATAAGCCCAGCCCTTCCTGCAGAAAAAAGCTCAGTAGTTTGTACCCAACAGGCATTGCCAGAGATCCTGAACTGATAATCAGGACTTTTAGGCTGGTTGAAAAAAAAATAACAACTTGTGGTTGGAACATAAAGGAGGAGAAAATGTTGTTTGTACATTTTGAGTGATGGAGTTGACAGATGAAGACAAGGTTTGGAGTGGGAGTTGAACCAGCAACCCAAGGATCACAGCCTAAAGTCCTCCTCTCTACCAACTGAGCTATCGAAGGGTGCTGGGGGAACAAAGGCAGAAAACATAGTGGCTGAGACAACACACTATGCCAAAAGGACTATTCATCCCAATAGTCAATCATAAGCCCAGCCCTTCCTGCAGAAAAAAGCTCAGTAGTTTGTACCCAACAGGCATTGCCCTTCCTGCAGAAAAAAGCTCAGTAGTTTGTATCCAACAGGCATTGCAAGAGATCCTGAACTGATAATCAGGACTTTTAGGCTGGTTGAAAAAAAAATAACAACTTGTGGTTGGAACATAAAGGAGGAGAAAATGTTGTTTGTACATTTTGAGTGATGGAGTTGACAGATGAAGACAAGGTTTGGAGTGGGAGTTGAACCAGCAACCCAAGGATCACAGCCTAAAGTCCTCCGCTCTACCAACTGAGCTATCGAAGGGTGCTGGAGGAATAAAGGCAGAAAACATAGTGGCTGAGACAACACACTATGCCAAAAGGACTATTCATCCCAATAGTCAATCATAAGCCCAGCCCTTCCTGCAGAAAAAAGCTCAGTAGTTTGTACCCAACAGGCATTGCCAGAGATCCTGAACTGATAATCAGGACTTTTAGGCTGGTTGAAAAAAAAATAACAACTTGTGGTTGGAACATAAAGGAGGAGAAAATGTTGTTTGTACATTTTGAGTGATGGAGTTGACAGATGAAGACAAGGTTTGGAGTGGGAGTTGAACCAGCAACCCAAGGATCACAGCCTAAAGTCCTCCGCTCTATCAACTGAGCTATCGAAGGGTGCTGGGAGAACAAAGGCAGAAAACATAGTGGCTGAGACAACACACTATGCCAAAAGGACTATTCATCCCAATAGTCAATCATAAGCCCAGCCCTTCCTGCAGAAAAAAGCTCAGTAGTTTGTACCCAACAGGCATTGCCCTTCCTGCAGAAAAAAGCTTAGTAGTTTGTATCCAACAGGCATTGCAAGAGATCCTGAACTGATAATCAGGACTTTTAGGCTGGTTGAAAAAAAAATAACAACTTGTGGTTGGAACATAAAGGAGGAGAAAATGTTGTTTGTACATTTTGAGTGATGGAGTTGACAGATGAAGACAAGGTTTGGAGTGGGAGTTGAACCAGCAACCCAAGGATCACAGCCTAAAGTCATCCGCTCTACCAACTGAGCTATCGAAGGGTGCTGGGAGAACAAAGGCAGAAAACATAGTGGCTGAGACAACACACTATGCCAAAAGGACTATTCATCCCAATAGTCAATCAGAAGCCCAGCCCTTCCTGCAGAAAAAAGCTCAGTAGTTTGTACCCAACAGGCATTGCCAGAGATCTTGAACTGATAATCAGGACTTTTAGGCTGGTTGAAAAAAAAATAACAACTTGTGGTTGGAACATAAAGGAGGAGAAAATGTTGTTTGTACATTTTGAGTGATGGAGTTGACAGATGAAGACAAGGTTTGGAGTGGGAGTTGAACCAGCAACCCAAGGATGACAGCCTAAAGTCCTCCGCTCTACCAACTGAGCTATGGAAGGGTGCTGGGGGAACAAAGGCAGAAAACATAGTGGCTGAGACAACACACTATGCCAAAAGGACTATTCATCCCAAAAGCCAATCATAAGCCCAGCCCTTCCTGCAGAAAAAAGCTCAGTAGTTTGTACCCAACAGGCATTGCCAGAGATCCTGAACTGATAATCAGGACTTTTAGGCTGGTTGAAAAAAAAATAACAACTTGTGGTTGGAACATAAAGGAGGAGAAAATGTTGTTTGTACATTTTGAGTGATGGAGTTGACAGATGAAGACAAGGTTTGGAGTGGGAGTTGAACCAGCAACCCAAGGATGACAGCCTAAAGTCCTCCGCTCTACCAACTGAGCTATGGAAGGGTGCTGGGGGAACAAAGGCAGAAAACATAGTGGCTGAGACAACACACTATGCCAAAAGGACTATTCATCCCAAAAGCCAATCATAAGCCCAGCCCTTCCTGCAGAAAAAAGCTCAGTAGTTTGTACCCAACAGGCATTGCCAGAGATCCTGAACTGATAATCAGGACTTTTAGGCTGGTTGAAAAAAATAACAACTTGTGGTTGGAACATAAAGGAGGAGAAAATGTTGTTTGTACATTTTGAGTGATGGAGTTGACAGATGAAGACAAGGTTTGGAGTGGGAGTTGAACCAGCAACCCAAGGATCACAGCCTAAAGTCCTCCGCTCTACCAACTGAGCTATCGAAGGGTGCTGGGAGAACAAAGGCAGAAAACATAGTGGCTGAGACAACACACTATGCCAAAAGGACTATTCATCCCAATAGTCAATCATAAGCCCAGCCCTTCCTGCAGAAAAAAGCTCAGTAGTTTGTACCCAACAGGCATTGCCCTTCCTGCAGAAAAAAGCTTAGTAGTTTGTATCCAACAGGCATTGCAAGAGATCCTGAACTGATAATCAGGACTTTTAGGCTGGTTGAAAAAAAAATAACAACTTGTGGTTGGAACATAAAGGAGGAGAAAATGTTTGTACATTTTGAGTGATGGAGTTGACAGATGAAGACAAGGTTTGGAGTGGGAGTTGAACCAGCAACCCAAGGATCACAGCCTAAAGTCCTCCGCTCTACCAACTGAGCTATCGAAGGGTGCTGGGAGAACAAAGGCAGAAAACATAGTGGCTGAGACAACACACTATGCCAAAAGGACTATTCATCCCAATAGTCAATCAGAAGCCCAGCCCTTCCTGCAGAAAAAAGCTCAGTAGTTTGTACCCAACAGGCATTGCCAGAGATCCTGAACTGATAATCAGGACTTTTAGGCTGGTTGAAAAAAAAATAACAACTTGTGGTTGGAACATAAAGGAGGAGAAAATGTTGTTTGTACATTTTGAGTGATGGAGTTGACAGATGAAGACAAGGTTTGGAGTGGGAGTTGAACCAGCAACCCAAGGATCACAGCCTAAAGTCCTCCGCTCTACCAACTGAGCTATGGAAGGGTGCTGGGGGAACAAAGGAAGAAAACATAGTGGCTGAGACAACACACTATGCCAAAAGGACTATTCATCCCAAAAGCCAATCATAAGCCCAGCCCTTCCTGCAGAAAAAAGCTCAGTAGTTTGTACCCAACAGGCATTGCCAGAGATCCTAAACTGATAATCAGGACTTTTAGGCTGGTTGAAAAAAAATAACAACTTGTGGTTGGAACATAAAGGAGGAGAAAATGTTGTTTGTGCATTTTGAGTGATGGAGTTGACAGATGAAGACAAGGTTTGGAGTAGGAGTTGAACCAGCAACCCAAGGATCACAGCCTAAAGTCCTCCGCTCTACCAACTGAGCTATGGAAGAGTGCTGGGGGAAAAAAGGCAGAAAACATAGTGGCTGAGAAAACACACTATGCCAAAAGGACTATTCATCCCAATAGTCAATCATAAGCCCAGCCCTTCCTGCAGAAAAAAGCTCAGTAGTTTGTATCCAACAGGCATTGCCAGAGATCCTGAACTGATAATCAGGACTTTTAGGCTGGTTGAAAAAAAAATAACAACTTGTGGTTGGAACATAAAGGAGGAGAAAATGTTGTTTGTACATTTTGAGTGATGGAGTTGACAGATGAAGACAAGGTTTGGAGTGGGAGTTGAACCAGCAACCCAAGGATCACAGCCTAAAGTCCTCCGCTCTACCAACTGAACTATCAATGGGTGCTGGGGGAACAAAGGCAGAAAACAAAGTGGCTGAGACAACACACTATGCCAAAAGGACTATTCATCCCAATAGTCAATCATAAGCCCAGCCCTTCCTGCAGAAAAAAGCTCAGTAGTTTGTATCCAACAGGCATTGCAAGAGATCCTGAACTGATAATCAGGACTTTTAGGCTGGTTGAAAAAAAAATAACAACTTGTGGTTGGAACATAAAGGAGAAGAAAATGTTGTTTGTACATTTTGAGTGATGGAGTTGACAGATGAAGACAAGGTTTGGAGTGGGAGTTGAACCAGCAACCCAAGGATCACAGCCTAAAGTCCTCCTCTCTACCAACTGAGCTATCGAAGGGTGCTGGGGGAACAAAGGCAGAAAACATAGTGGCTGAGACAACACACTATGCCAAAAGGACTATTCATCCCAATAGTCAATCATAAGCCCAGCCCTTCCTGCAGAAAAAAGCTCAGTAGTTTGTACCCAACAGGCATTGCAAGAGATACTGAACTGATAATCAGGACTTTTAGGCTGGTTGAAAAAAATAATAACTTGTGGTTGGAACATAAAGGAGGAGAAAATGTTGTTTGTACATTTTGAGTGATGGAGTTGACAGATAAAGACAAGGGTTTGGAGCAGGAGTTGAAGGAGCAACCCAAGGATCACAGCCTAAAGTCCTCCACTCTACCAACTGAGCTATCGAAGGGTGCTGGGGGAATAAAGGCAGAAAACATAGTGGCTGAGACAACACACTATGCCAAAAGGACTATTCATCCCAATAGTCAATCATAAGCCCAGCCCTTCCTGCAGAAAAAAGCTCAGTAGTTTGTACCCAACAGGCATTGCCAGAGATCCTGAACTGATAATCAGGACTTTTAGGCTGGTTGAAATAAAAATAACAACTTGTGGTTGGAACATAAAGGAGGAGAAAATGTTGTTTGTACATTTTGAGTGATGGAGTTGACAGATGAAGACAAGGTTTGGAGTGGGAGTTGAACCAGCAACCCAAGGATCACAGCCTAAAGTCCTCCGCTCTACCAACTGAGCTATCGAAGGGTGCTGGGGGAACAAAGGCAGAAAACATAGTGGCTGAGACAACACACTATGCTCAAAGGACTATTCATCCCAATAGTCAATCATAAGCCCAGCCCTTCCTGCAGAAAAAAAGCTCAGTAGTTTGTACCCAACAGGCATTGCCAGAGATCCTGAACTGATAATCAGGACTTTTAGGCTGGTTGAAATAAAAATAACAACTTGTGGTTGGAACATAAAGGAGGAGAAAATGTTGTTTGTACATTTTGAGTGATGGAGTTGACAGATGAAGACAAGGTTTGGAGTGGGAGTTGAACCAGCAACCCAAGGATCACAGCCTAAAGTCCTCCGCTCTACCAACTGAGCTATCGAAGGGAGGTGGGGGAACAAAGGCAGAAAACATAGTGGCTGAGACAACACACTATGCCAAAAGGACTATTCATCCCAATAGTCAATCATAAGCCCAGCCCTTCCTGCAGAAAAAAGCTCAGTAGTTTGTACCCAACAGGCATTGCCAGAGATCCTGAACTGATAATCAGGACTTTTAGGCTGGTTGAAAAAAAATAACAACTTGTGGTTGGAACATAAAGGAGGAGAAAATGTGTTTTGTACATTTTGAGTGATGGAGTTGACAGATGAAGACAAGATTTGGAGTGGGAGTTGAACCAGCAACCCAAGGATCACAGCCTAAAGTCCTCCGCTCTAACAACTGAGCTATCGAAGGGTGCTGGGGGAACAAAGGCAGAAAACATAGTGGCTGAGACAACACACTATGCCAAAAGGACTATTCATCCCAAAAGTCAATCATAAGCCCAGCCCTTCCTGCAGAAAAAAGCTCAGTAGTTTGTACCAAACAGGCATTGCCAGAGATCCTGAACTGATAATCAGGACTTTTAGGCTGGTTGAAAAAAAATAACAACTTGTGGTTGGAACATAAAGGAGGAGAAAATGTTGTTTGTACATTTTGAGTGATGGAGTTGACAGATGAAGACAAGGTTTGGAGTGGGAGTTGAACCAGCAACACAAGGATCACAGCCTAAAGTCCTCCGCTCTACCAATTGAGATATGGAAGGGTGCTGGGGGAACAAAGGCAGAAAACATAGTGCCTGAGACAACACACTATGCCAAAAGGACTATTTATCCCAATAGTCAATCATAAGCCCAGCCCTTCCTGCAGAAAAAAGCTCAGTAGTTTGTACCCAACAGGCATTGCCAGAGATCCTGAACTGATAATCAGGACTTTTAGGCTGGTTGAAAAAAAAATAACAACTTGTGGTTGAAACATAAAGGAGGAGTAAATGTTGTTTGTACATTTTGAGTGATGGAGTTGACAGATGAAGACAAGGTTTGGAGTGGGAGTTGAACCAGCAACCCAAGGATCACAGCCTAAAGTCCTCCGCTCTACCAACTGAGCTATCGAAGGGTGCTGGGGGAACAAAGGCAGAAAACATAGTGGCTGAGAAAACACACTATGCCAAAAGGACTATTCATCCCAATAGTCAATCATAAGCCCAGCCCTTCCTGCAGAAAAAAGCTCAGTAGTTTGTATCCAACAGGCATTGCAAGAGATCCTGAACTGATAATCAGGACTTTTAGGCTGGTTGAAAAAAAAATAACAACTTGTGGTTGGAACATAAAGGAGGAGAAAATGTTGTTTGTACATTTTGAGTGATGGAGTTGACAGATGAAGACAAGGTTTGGAGTGGGAGTTGAACCAGCAACCCAAGGATCACAGCCTAAAGTCCTCCGCTCTACCAACTGAGCTATCGAAGGGTGCTGGGGGAACAAAGGAAGAAAACATAGTGGCTGAGACAACACACTATGCCAAAAGGACTATTCATCCCAATAGTCAATCATAAGCCCAGCCCTTCCTGCAGAAAAAAGCTCAGTAGTTTGTACCCAACAGGCATTGCCAGAGATCCTGAACTGATAATCAGGACTTTTAGGCTGGTTGAAAAAAAATAACAACTTGTGGTTGGAACATAAAGGAGGAGAAAATGTTGTTTGTACATTTTGAGTGATGGAGTTGACAGATGAAGACAAGGTTTGGAGTGGGAGTTGAACCAGCAACCCAAGGATCACAGCCTAAAGTCCTCCGCTCTACCAACTGAGCTATCGAAGGGAGGTGGGGGAACAAAGGCAGAAAACATAGTGGCTGAGACAACACACTATGCCAAAAGGACTATTCATCCCAATAGTCAATCATAAGCCCAGCCCTTCCTGCAGAAAAAAGCTCAGTAGTTTGTACCCAACAGGCATTGCCCTTCCTGCAGAAAAAAGCTCAGTAGTTTGTATCCAACAGGCATTGCAAGAGATCCTGAACTGATAATCAGGACTTTTAGGCTGGTTGAAAAAAAAATAACAACTTGTGGTTGGAACATAAAGGAGGAGAAAATGTTGTTTGTACATTTTGAGTGATGGAGTCGACAGATGAAGACAAGGTTTGGAGTGGGAGTTGAACCAGCAACCCAAGGATCACAGCCTAAAGTCCTCCGCTCTACCAACTGAGCTATCGAAGGGTGCTGGGAGAACAAAGGCAGAAAACATAGTGGCTGAGACAACACACTATGCCAAAAGGACTATTCATCCCAATAGTCAATCATAAGCCCAGCCCTTCCTGCAGAAAAAAGCTCAGTAGTTTGTATCCAACAGGCATTGCCAGAGATCCTGAACTGATAATCAGGACTTTTAGGCTGGTTGAAAAAAAAATAACAACTTGTGGTTGGAACATAAAGGAGGAGAAAATGTTGTTTGTACATTTTGAGTGATGGAGTTGACAGATGAAGACAAGGTTTGGAGTGGGAGTTGAACCAGCAACCCAAGGATCACAGCCTAAAGTCCTCCGCTCTACCAACTGAGCTATCGAAGGGTGCTGGGGGAACAAAGGCAGAAAACATAGTGGCTGAGACAACACACTATGCCAAAAGGACTATTCATCCCAATAGTTAATCATAAGCCCAGCCCTTCCTGCAGAAAAAAGCTCAGTAGTTTGTACCCAACAGGCATTGCCCTTCCTGCAGAAAAAAGCTCAGTAGTTTGTATCCAACAGGCATTGCAGGAGATCCTGAACTGATAATCAGGACTTTTAGGCTGGTTGAAAAAAAAATAACAACTTGTGGTTGGAACATAAAGGAGGAGAAAATGTTGTTTGTACATTTTGAGTGATGGAGTTGACAGATGAAGACAAGGTTTGGAGTGGGAGTTGAACCAGCAACCCAAGGATCACAGCCTAAAGTCCTCCGCTCTACCAACTGAGCTATCGAAGGGTGCTGGGGGAACAAAGGAAGAAAACATAGTGGCTGAGACAACACACTATGCCAAAAGGACTATTCATCCCAATAGTCAATCATAAGCCCAGCCCTTCCTGCAGAAAAAAGCTCAGTAGTTTGTACCCAACAGGCATTGGAAGAGATCCTGAACTGATAATCAGGACTTTTAGGCTGGTTGAAAAAAAAATAACAACTTGTGGTTGGAACATAAAGGAGGAGAAAATGTTGTTTGTACATATTGAGTGATGGAGTTGACAGATGAAGACAAGGTTTGGAGTGGGAGTTGAACCAGCAACCCAAGGATCACAGCCTAAAGTCCTCCGCTCTACCAACTGAGCTATCGAAGGGTGCTGGGGGAACAAAGGCAGAAAACATAGTGGCTGAGACAACACACTATGCCAAAAGGACTATTCATCCCAATAGTCAATCATAAGCCCAGCCCTTCCTGCAGAAAAAAGCTCAGTAGTTTGTACCCAACAGGCATTGCCCTTCCTGCAGAAAAAAGCTCAGTAGTTTGTATCCAACAGGCATTGCAAGAGATCCTGAACTGATAATCAGGACTTTTAGGCTGGTTGAAAAAAAAAACAACTTGTGGTTGGAACATAAAGGAGGAGAAAATGTTGTTTGTACATTTTGAGTGATGGAGTTGACAGATGAAGACAAGGTTTGGAGTGGGAGTTGAACCAGCAACCCAAGGATCACAGCCTAAAGTCCTCCGCTCTACCAACTGAGCTATCGAAGGGTGCTGGAGGAATAAAGGCAGAAAACATAGTGGCTGAGACAACACACTATGCCAAAAGGACTATTCATCCCAATAGTCAATCATAAGCCCAGCCCTTCCTGCAGAAAAAAGCTCAGTAGTTTGTACCCAACAGGCATTGCCAGAGATCCTGAACTGATAATCAGGACTTTTAGGCTGGTTGAAAAAAATAACAACTTGTGGTTGGAACATAAAGGAGGAGAAAATGTTGTTTGTACATTTTGAGTGATGGAGTTGACAGATGAAGACAAGGTTTGGAGTGGGAGTTGAACCAGCAACCCAAGGATCACAGCCTAAAGTCCTCCTCTCTACCAACTGAGCTATCGAAGGGTGCTGGGGGAACAAAGGCAGAAAACATAGTGGCTGAGACAACACACTATGCCAAAAGGACTATTCATCCCAATAGTCAATCATAAGCCCAGCCCTTCCTGCAGAAAAAAGCTCAGTAGTTTGTACCCAACAGGCATTGCCCTTCCTGCAGAAAAAAGCTCAGTAGTTTGTATCCAACAGGCATTGCAAGAGATCCTGAACTGATAATCAGGACTTTTAGGCTGGTTGAAAAAAAAATAACAACTTGTGGTTGGAACATAAAGGAGGAGAAAATGTTGTTTGTACATTTTGAGTGATGGAGTTGACAGATGAAGACAAGGTTTGGAGTGGGAGTTGAACCAGCAACCCAAGGATCACAGCCTAAAGTCCTCCGCTCTACCAACTGAGCTATCGAAGGGTGCTGGAGGAAAAAAGGCAGAAAACATAGTGGCTGAGACAACACACTATGCCAAAAGGACTATTCATCCCAATAGTCAATCATAAGCCCAGCCCTTCCTGCAGAAAAAAGCTCAGTAGTTTGTACCCAACAGGCATTGCCAGAGATCCTGAACTGATAATCAGGACTTTTAGGCTGGTTGAAAAAAAAATAACAACTTGTGGTTGGAACATAAAGGAGGAGAAAATGTTGTTTGTACATTTTGAGTGATGGAGTTGACAGATGAAGACAAGGTTTGGAGTGGGAGTTGAACCAGCAACCCAAGGATCACAGCCTAAAGTCCTCCGCTCTACCAACTGAGCTATCGAAGGGTGCTGGGAGAACAAAGGCAGAAAACATAGTGGCTGAGACAACACACTATGCCAAAAGGACTATTCATCCCAATAGTCAATCATAAGCCCAGCCCTTCCTGCAGAAAAAAGCTCAGTAGTTTGTACCCAACAGGCATTGCCAGAGATCCTAAACTGATAATCAGGACTTTTAGGCTGGTTGAAAAAAAATAACAACTTGTGGTTGGAACATAAAGGAGGAGAAAATGTTGTTTGTGCATTTTGAGTGATGGAGTTGACAGATGAAGACAAGGTTTGGAGTAGGAGTTGAACCAGCAACCCAAGGATCACAGCCTAAAGTCCTCCGCTCTACCAACTGAGCTATGGAAGAGTGCTGGGGGAAAAAAGGCAGAAAACATAGTGGCTGAGAAAACACACTATGCCAAAAGGACTATTCATCCCAATAGTCAATCATAAGCCCAGCCCTTCCTGCAGAAAAAAGCTCAGTAGTTTGTATCCAACAGGCATTGCCAGAGATCCTGAACTGATAATCAGGACTTTTAGGCTGGTTGAAAAAAAAATAACAACTTGTGGTTGGAACATAAAGGAGGAGAAAATGTTGTTTGTACATTTTGAGTGATGGAGTTGACAGATGAAGACAAGGTTTGGAGTGGGAGTTGAACCAGCAACCCAAGGATGACAGCCTAAAGTCCTCCGCTCTACCAACTGAGCTATCGAAAGGTGCTGGGGGAACAAAGGCAGAAAACAAAGTGGCTGAGACAACACACTATGCCAAAAGGACTATTCATCCCAATAGTCAATCATAAGCCCAGCCCTTCCTGCAGAAAAAAGCTCAGTAGTTTGTATCCAACAGGCATTGCAAGAGATCCTGAACTGATAATCAGGACTTTTAGGCTGGTTGAAAAAAATAAACAACTGGTGGTTGGAACATAAAGGAGAAGAAAATGTTGTTTGTACATTTTGAGTGATGGAGTTGACAGATGAAGACAAGGTTTGGAGTGGGAGTTGAACCAGCAACCCAAGGATCACAGCCTAAAGTCCTCCTCTCTACCAACTGAGCTATCGAAGGGTGCTGGGGGAACAAAGGCAGAAAACATAGTGGCTGAGACAACACACTATGCCAAAAGGACTATTCATCCCAATAGTCAATCATAAGCCCAGCCCTTCCTGCAGAAAAAAGCTCAGTAGTTTGTACCCAACAGGCATTGCAAGAGATACTGAACTGATAATCAGGACTTTTAGGCTGGTTGAAAAAAATAATAACTTGTGGTTGGAACATAAAGGAGGAGAAAATGTTGTTTGTACATTTTGAGTGATGGAGTTGACAGATAAAGACAAGGGTTTGGAGCAGGAGTTGAAGGAGCAACCCAAGGATCACAGCCTAAAGTCCTCCACTCTACCAACTGAGCTATCGAAGGGTGCTTGGGCAACAAAGGCAGAAAACATAGTGGCTGAGACAACACACTATGCCAATAGGACTATTCATCCCAATAGTCAATCATAAGCCCAGCCCTTCCTGCAGAAAAAAGCTCAGTAGTTTGTACCCAACATGCATTGCCAGAGATCCTGAACTGATAATCAGGACTTTTAGGCTGGTTGAAAAAAATAACAACTTGTGGTTGGAACATTATGGTGGAGTTTATCTTGTTCCTGTTTGTACTTTTTGAGTGATGGAGTTGACAGATGAAGACAAGGTTTGGGGCGGAAGTTGAACCAGCAACCCAAGGATCACAGCCTAAAGTCCTCCGCTGTACCAACTGAGCTATCAAAGGGTGCTGGGGCTTCAAAGTCAAAAAAACATAGTGGCTGAGACAACACACTATGCCAAAAGCCCAGCCCTTCCTGCAGAACAAAGCTTTGCAGTTTGTACCCAACAGGCATTGCCAGATACCCAGAACTGATAATCAGGACTTTTAGGCTGGTTGAAAAGATAAAAAAATGTGGTTGGAAAATAAGGGAGGAGTAAATGTTGTTTGTGTTTGTACATTTTGAGTGATGGAGTTGACAGATGAAGACAAGGCTTGGTATAATTTCAATGTGATTAGACCAAGAACATTGCTCATACCAATGAAAAGCACATCCTTCAGGCCAGAGTTGAAACAGCGTCCTAAGGGCCACAGCAATTTCTATCAGGAACATACTACAGTCCTCTGCTCTACCAACTGAGCAGCCCTACGTGCAGAACAAAGCTTTGCATTTTGTACCTTACAGTCATTGCCAAGGACCCAGATGATGATCAGGACTTTTATGCTGGGTGAAAAAAAAAAATTAAGCAATGGAGTTTTCAGAGCTAGGCAAGGCCTGGCATTATTTCAATGTGATTAGACCTAGAACTTACTTCAAGCCGGAGTTGAATCAGCGACCTAAGGAACACCCTACAGTGATCTGCTCTTCCAACTGAGCTATCGAAGGGAGCACTTTGGTCACAACTTTAGAAAACACAGGGGCTGACACCATATAATTATATTGATCCTCAGTTCACTCACGCTTCTTGAGTGTCGTTCGTGGAAATGTGATGCTACAGAGAGTTAAACTTTAGGCTGACCCAATTTTTAAAGTAAGTGTTGCATTCACAGTGAGTGAATTTTTTGAAAGAAAACAACCAAGTTAATCAGTTTCAACATCAAATATCTTTGTAGTGTATTCGAATAAATAGAGCATTTGGAAAATATTCTTTCTTTATTCATGTTTTACACAATGTCCCAACTTCACACAGAAATTGTGGTTGGTAAAAACAGAAGACTTGAGGTAATATCAACCTCTGGGTTTTCATTTTTTTAATTAATATTTGAAGTTTTTTTACGTCTCCCTTTGTATCCCTCTCTCTCTGTCACACACACACACACACACACACACACACACACACACACACACACACACACACACACACACACACACACACACACACACACACACACACACACACACACACAGGGCCCGTCAGTGTCTCTCATTTTCAGACTAATCTATTTTTGTCATGGCTGGCCGGTTGAGACTCAACTTTTCTCATCAACTCTTACATGGCGCTTGGCTTCCAGACAGACAGCGTGAGGACGAGGGTGCTGGGAGTGAGTGTGGGTGTGAGAGAGAGAGCCAGGGCTGATTTTAAACCAGTGCCTGGAGAGAGGAAGGATGTGGACTGCACATCAATTACAGATGACGAGACCTAAAAACAGGGATATGATTGTCTTAAAAGTGAAGATCAATGTCAGATTATTCTGAATCACACTTTGTCACATATTAAATTTCCCCTTGGGGATCAATAAAGTTGTCATGTAGCTTGATCCCGAAAGCTGCATGACAACGGCAGGTAGCAGGTTTTGATTCTATGCAGGATAATCCACAACTCTTAGCCATGACCCTTTGCTCCCCTCCTCACCCCTTTTAACTACAGCTTCTGTGAGGAGATTTTAATTGGTGTTGAAACAGACTGAAATAAACAGTGGCGCTTTTTTATGACCTACAAAAACAAGCAATTCAGTTATCAAATCATTTACAATTTTTCAAGTGCCATTTTAGTTGCTTTAACTTCTGCAAGGGGCTAGGCGTTAAATGAAAATCTTTTCTTTCTTCATGTCAAATATCAATGTTAAAAGGCCACAAAAAAGCAGGGTGATATTTCTGTTCGAGGAGTTCAATCTAAATGACAAGGGAATAAAAGATCAGCACAAGCAGAGTTCCTTATTTGACTTTTGCATAGAGTTTTAGTTTAACTTCAAATAACATGAAAGGGAGAGTGGGAGAGACAAGAAACAGTGATTGAGACACAGGGTGGAGAGACAAGAAACAAAAACTTCATTTTCTCAGTGTTACTCGGTTTACCTGTAAAGAATTTGCAGTGCAGACTGGAGTCTCAGAGAGACCCTGTTTCATGCAAACAGCTCCCAAGTGCATCAAGTGTGCACTAATGTCAGCACATTTCTATGAAATAAATACATCCTCATTACTCTGTGTGTTTAATGAAGTCATCACAGGCCAGTTCAACTTTAACTCGCTGTGTAAAGCTTGCCTGTCAAAGAATAACTGTTTTGGATAAAACAGGCTCCTGTTAGAACTTACTAGGTTTGAATAATTCTGCACAGTCAAATTAAAACATAAATTTGCACAGAAGAAAGCCGGACATTATCTCACAGACTGCCTTTTCTATGCATACATATATTTATTTTTAATGCTTGTAAGACTTCATTTTGTAAGTTGTAACTTTATGTTGAGAACATGAATGAGCTGACTAAAGTGTCTGCTCTCTTGAGTCCACAAAGCTGATAACACCTCTCACAGTTTCTTCATAGATTTAAGGGATTTGGTTCGAAAATACTGATCTATTGTAAAGTGCTTTTATTGATATCTTTTTTTGTGAATATTTACACAAAGTTCATACGGTTTATACCCAGAACCGTACAAAAGTAAGAAGTTTATATCAAAGACCTGACTTCTTTCTTCCCCTGTGAGCTGAGAGGACAGATGTGGGATTTCTTGTTGTCCTCTCTGCAGTCAGCTGCTTTTATCTCTGTTCCATACAACTCTTCTTCAGAGAAAGGACATAGTCTGCGGTTTTTGTCTGGTCTGTTTCACTATTCTCCCAAATCTGCCGATCAACAGAGCGAGCCACAAAACTGCTTCAGTGATCAAAGTGCAGAGGTGTAGCAGAGGTGCATCCGTGCAGAGAAATCAAAGATCTCTGACAGAAGCTGGTTTTGACTGTGTTGTGTTTGTTTGGAGTGGAACTAACACACAGAGAGTTTTTGTTCTGCCACTGATCTGGGCCACAGCGGCCTGTTTCTGGTTTTCAGCCCACTGTAATCAGGACAGTGACAGGTGGTGGAAGCCTGCATTAGATACACAGGCACAGAGGAGGTGACAACAAAAGGACATCTAAAACCAAACTGGAGCACTGATACTTCTTTACCTGAATTTCAGAGAAGAAAACAGCACTGACCCATCTCAGGTTAGGTAAATAAAGATTAGTATGTATTGTATGCCTGCATGTATAATAGGTAATCTCTTTTACATTGCATGCTGAAAAGCTTTCTACACACTGCAACTTGGAAACTGCATTTGAACCAATTCACCATTATGACACCTTTTGTACTCACACATTTAGCTCCACAGCTGCATAATGTTGGTGTCCTTGAGTCTATATTGAACTATGGCATTTCAGGAGAGAAAAAGGGTTGGCTCGTCACGGCTAGGCTATGTTTGCTATTGTCCATGATTGTCTCATGAGTGCATTGCAAAAATGAAACAAATGAAGGACTCTAAGTTCATACACAAGTTTGCCAGTGGTGGTTTTATTTTGTTCTTTGTGAAGTTTAAATGTCAGTCAAGCTCGTCAGTAATATTTGATTGATGTCCCTTTAGTCCAGTCCAGATGAAGAGACTGTTTGAGTAAGTTATATCTGTTTCAACTGGTCCAGCACAGCTGTGCTTATATGAGCCCAGAGCTGTGCTACTCCTGTAACACAGCACACGTAGTAGCCAGTAAGTGGTTTTCAAATATGTTTGAAATGCCAGTCAGCTTTTCAATGTCCGCCAGTCAGTTGAGATGTTAATTGTCAGCTGATAGAGATGGAATTATAAATAATTGAGGGTAGGGGTGTACAGAGTTGTCTGCATCTGTATCAGATCAACCAGAAAATAATTTATGTTTGTATATGTGTTGAAACAGAAAACTGGGAAATCAGTCCCACACTCTGAGAGACAGACACACCGCCAGTACATAGCCAGCTTCCTCCATGTTCAGAGATACGAGCCACAATATTTAAGTGACTTCAATAATACAGACTAAATTAACAACATTGGAATTGGGCTTTTTTTAATGACGGTAATGAGCAAATCCTACTTAAAAGGCAGGTTTCCAAGCTTTACTTTGATGCATATTGCAGAGGTTTGACTGAAATAAAGCCACACATGATGGGAGCTGCAGCTTCAGGTGGTGCATGCACATTAATGTTCAGATTTGCGCTCATCCTTAAAGAAAACAGGGGATCACCTTTTGATTTGTCTGAGGAACAGCAAGTCAACTTTACAGAAACCCTATAGCTGCATAAGACATAGAATTTGTTTATAAGCACAACAGGTCAAAAATAAGAAATCATACTTTGACCAGACCAAGTCTTTGATCACTCTTCTTACTCCTCAGCACTTTCTTTTTCTTCTTTCACTTTTTATTTTACTCATCTTTACATCATCTTTATAAATATTGACCTTATCTTTCAGACACCAAAATCCAGTTAATGCAACAGGTAAACCAAAACTCAAAGACTCAGAGGTAGAAATCATGTTTTTGTTGATGTTGTAGGGTCATAGGTGTGAGAGTTTTCAAAGGCAGAAGCTCACTTTTTAAGGGTGGAACGATGCTGTTTTATTAAGGAAACAGAGAGCTAGAGGACTTAACCCCATCCATGCTGGTGTATATTTTAATTATCTGTCTTTGTGCTCCATAAAACAGGAACACTCTCTCTTTTCACAACAGTCCTTTGACTCCACCCGCTCATGTCTTGTCCACTGCTGAGCTGCCTTTAAATCTCACTCAGTGGGATAGATATGTACACATTCACATACAGTCTGGCCTAAGATCTCTTCCCTGAAGGTTCCTGCTGACTTTACATTCATCTTCATAACGACTGTGTCATTTCCTCTGCATGCTGAGTGAGTCTCTTTCCTCCGCCAGCAGACCTCCCACCTTGCTTCAACAAAACACTCGCCAAACCTTTCTCTCAGTGGTAAGCAGGCCATCTGGCATACTGGGACAAAACCCTGTGGGTCACTCCATTGATGGGCCTTTGGACTGTCAAAAAACCTGCAAGAATTCTTGAAGCCCATCTGACCCTGTCTGTCTCCTAACAGTCCCTCTGTGTGTGTTTAGTCATTTGTGGTTCACCTGAAATCTGTTACATGTGCTTTGGTCAATCACAGTTATGCTAATCACACTTATCACCCAGCTGTGTTACATATTTGATTCGGATTGATCAGGGCCCTTTAACAACAGTAATGTACTCTCCACAGCAATCGGTGGACACATGTAATATCAATTCATGCAATGAAGTCTGGCATATTTCTGCTCTGCCTGTTAAAGGGATATTCCACAGTTCTCCTCAAGCAGCTGCTTGAGGGGAGCCCTGACGAGTTGATTACCGAGCTCAAGAAAGAACATTTATGATTATTACCTCATGAAAATGCAATCAGACCGAGACGCTAAGGCAGAGGATCTACCGCATCTGCAGTGCAAAAAGATCATTTTGATGATCATTACTTCAAGGAAATGATCCACTGCACTCGGTGATCGGCTCGTCAGTCTTCCCCCCACAAACAAGTGGCTGCTGGAGGAGAGAGGGTGAGGTTTTTTTTGGTCCTTTTGCTAAAGAAACCAGGCAAAGCTAAAAAGATGTTTGATGGCTAGTACTATGGCTGGGACCCTATATGTTGATGAAGTTAGGTGCTGTTCTGAGCTTTATTTGTGGCTACAGAGTGGCTTTTTGGATGAGGTTTGTGCATGGAGCGGTAGACGGCTGTGTATTGCTATTGTGCGGTGATTACTTCATCCAGAGATGAGTGCATTATAATGCATCACCCTCTCTCTTTCTTTATTTCCATTTATTCCCTCCTTTTCTCAACCCAGTACCAGTAGGTTGCAAACTAACATGAGTCTGGTCCTGCTTAAGGTTTCTGCCTGTTAAAGGGAAGTTTATCCTCTCCACTGTAACTTGCCAAAAACTGCAAAGTGCTTTACTAATATTTGATGGGATGAGTTAAATCTTTTCCCATCTCAAGGCTGGGTCTTTGTAATTCATCAAACCTTGAGCATGGTCTTTTTTGCACCTAAAATGGTGAATTAACCTATTAACCTCACAAGACAGCTTATTGTTAGTATCGTATTTGGAGGCTTGGGCCCATTAGCCAAGCTGCCAGAGAGATGAGATCGAGGACATGCTGAATTTTGAAATGATGTCTAGACAGCAAAGGCAAAAGTAGAAAAAAAAATCCCTAACATTTGACATTCACCAGACTTCCAAGTAGCCAGTTGTTTGGTTCACCCACTCTAAATGTATTGCTGTTTCGACAGTCTCAGTAGTGGTCATGACTTTGCAATGAATGTGTGGAGACATTTGCTTAGAGTTTGATTGTACCATGTGATGAGACTTGAAATGAGTTTGTTTGGAAGAGATTGATACTCACTCATGCATTTCCTGTCAACTGGAATATTGATGTCCTTTGCCAGAGGTGGCCTGTTTCCTCTGGACCTTTAACACACGCTGAATTAATGCAAAATGTGATGTTCCTGATCTCTAAAGGCTAGGGATGTTTAGATTACAGAAATTCAACCTTCCTTGAGATAGATTGACAGATTACTTTCTGTTATTACTACAAACCAAACAGCAGGTTTCATGATCGCAAACTTGACAAAAGCAGGGTTTCCCCTTCATGTTATTGATCGTGCCCACAGTAAAATAAAAGCCGCTACAACTTAAAAATGATTTTTTTCTCTGGCTCAGTATGTAACAGTATATGCGGCGCTGCACCGCAGGGGCGCGCGTGTGCCTGGTATTAGCGAGTTGCTTTTCTGTGCGATCACACAGCAGATTGATAAATCTTCTCCCCCTCGCTCCCTGCTCTCTGAGTCAATCACCACACACACACACACACACACACACACACACACACACACACACACACACACACACACACACACACACACACACACACATCATGCCACAAATAGATTCCCATCCACTGGGAAACACTGACTAGAGCAAAATCTGAGGGCTTCCCCACCACTGTCCACAAGTTTTACATGCAGAAAAATGAAAATGTACCCTCAAACTATTGCAACAGTGATTCAACCACATATAGATTTTTACCCAGAAGGTGGTGCTTGAAGAAGCAAAGGATTGTTTGATGTGCAATGCCTGTAAACCAGTCTAATAGACCCTTATTCAAAGAAGATGTTGAGATACCACTTAGTAAATGAACCTTGTTGAATAATGGTTTGATTGTAAAGATGCTTTTATGTCAACAAATAGCCAGGGAAAGAGGGATGATGCAAGTCCAGGTGCAAAGATTGCAAGCAGTGGATTCGTCCATATCTCACAACTTATCAGTGATGGTCATGAATGTAATGCAGGTCTTCAGAAATATACCTTGAGCCTTCAAAATGTTAGGACCTTCTAAGGTAGAAAGCCTGTCAAAGGTGGCTACAGCAGCCCAGTCCCCATCCACAGTTCCCAGCATGCTGTTCCTACTTGGACTAAACTTAAATTTATCAGTGATACTGGGTAGCTGTCAGCACATGAACTGGATTTACAAAAGAGAGCTACACAGCTGCACAGAAACTGTATGTTGCTGACTATGATTTAAATTGCTAATCTAAATTGTATCGTCAAAATTATTTATTTATCATTATTTATATCCTCTTTTATACTTACTATCCTGTTTCCTGCTTTCTGCCCCCCTTTTCTATTTCATTTCTTCTTCTTACCTATTTTATGTTTTTATTTTGGTCCTCATGGTCTCATTTTATGTTGTAGGGTTCTTGTATTGCCTGAGTTTCTTATGAAAACTGAAATTGGCCTTCAATTCGGAGGCCTTGTTTTTAACTAAGCTTTTGTTTTTATTTGATATTATTTTCATGTGCTGATGTTCTGTGCTTTGCAACTTTTTGTCAAAGCACTTTGTAAACTTCTGTTTTTAAAAGTGCTATAAAAATAAAGTTATTATTATTATTATTATTATTATTA